AAATGACGACTCTGCTTATGAGTTGTGTGAAATAATAGTCCCAGGACTCCCAGTGACCATTGAACATCATCACCACATTATTATTATTTGTTTAATTAATTTATTACACCGGGGGGGGGGGGGCAGGTGATGACCCTAGTCAAGACCATGAAGTCAGACACTAATGCAGTGGTTTGTGGTACTCGTGTCTCGCAGGACACACTTTGACTTGTGATATAGAGACATTGATGTGAGTTGATCACAACATGCTGTAATGGATGACAGATGCGTTGCTGATGCCATAGTCATGTAATTGTATTATTTACATACTGTTTTAACTTTTTAACTTGTATCGCTTGGGCGATCGGTCATGTCTCTGTTACGCACTGGCTCCTGAATGTATCTGAACCTGCTCCAGTTATGGTCAAGTCTGGTCGTGAAAGAGCTCGCACTTGGTGCCGTCACAACACTCTCTGGCAGGTTGTTCCACGAGTTCACAACTCTTACTCTGAAAAAGTTCACCCTCACAGTTTTATGGATTTGTAGTTTCTTCAACTTTGAGCTGTAACCCCTTGTGGGGCGAGCATCCGCCAGCTCCAAGTAAGGACACTCGACTGAGTTGTGCCCTTTGAGATGTTTATACACCTCAATTAGGACCCCCGTTGCCCGTCTGTAGTATATGCTAGGCAATTGCGGGTTTTCTAATCTCTCAGGGTAGCCGAGGTGCCGAAGTGCAGGCACCAGTCTGGTGGCCCTCCTTTGCACATTTTCAATCAACTGGCAGTCTCTATCATATCTCGGGGACCAGACGGAGTGACAGTACTCCAGGCGGGGAAGCACCTCGCTCTTGAAGATCGTTACGAGTGTGTATGTATTGAATTGAATTGAAACCGTTTATTTAGCCAGAAAACACAGATACAGAGTGGATAATAATAACAATATTAATACGGCTGAGCCAGTTGAGAACCTGAGCTCTCTTTTAGGCACCTGATATATATATATATATATATATATATATATATATATATATATATATATATATATATAGTCAGATTCATGTGGGTAATGTCACTCTTCACTGCCATGCAGGACAGAGGTTCGTACACAAAGAAAGAAATATATCATATTCATTAGCGTTGATAAAGTCTGTGTAGCTTGGCCAGGTGTTGAATGATGGCGTCCCTCTGATTTTTCTCACATGAGATACCTGAGCATATTATTAGTACTGATGACTAAAGTTCGTGACTTCTCCTCCGAGAGATATTATACTGCACTTCCTTTTGGCGGTGGAGTCATGCAATGTTGAAGAGAGTATTAGGCCCCAGGGTCGGAGCAAATACTGACGATTACGGACACTAGGTGGCAGATGGACGTGTTGGTGCCCCCCCTCCTCTCCCTCCTTCCTTCACGTCCTCCCCCTTTCACCCTCCCTCGTTTGCATCCTTTCCCGCCCCATCTTCACCAAGCAATCCATCCCATTCCTTCCTAACCGCATTTTCATCGACTTGCCCTCCTTCCTCCAATATCACTTCTTCCCTCCCCTTCTTTCTCTCTCCTGTTATAGTTCGGTATATATTTGTTGGCAACAGCGGGTAAAAGGCCATATTGGCATCACAAAAATTTTGACCAATTTCCTGGTTGCTGATCTGACTTTCTGCCTCATTTACTCACAATTGCAGAGTTTCAATTGTTTCTCTTACTTTGACAACACAACATACATATATCGTTTCTCACAAATATTTTTTTTTTAATATTTATTATTATTATTATTATTATTATTATTATTATTATTATTATTATTATTATTATTATTATTTCGTCCCCAGACCCTGATGTGGGTTATTGGCCACCCTGGTGGGCTAATTCCGTAAAAAAAAAAAGAAAAAAAAAATGACCGACCACCCAAACGGCGAAGAGGATAAAAGTAAGTAATGCAAAAGTATCATAAAGAAGGTTCCAGACAGGGTGACATGGCAGGCAGGTGGTCATAGTTGATGGCGTTGTATTAAATGCGCGTGACACCGGTGGTGGTCATGTGAGGTTGATGCAATATCGTGTTCACACCTCTCACCCACCACCATCACCTGGCCTGCTCACCACCACCACCTGGCCTGCTCACCACCACCACCTGGCCTGCTCACCACCACCACCTGGCCTGCTCACCACCACCACCTGGCCTGCATCACCTGGCCTGCCACCACCACCAATCACCACCCTGACCCTGGTCACCACCACCTGGCCTGCTCACCACCACCATCACCTGACCTGGTTACCACCACCTGGCCTGCTCACCACCTGGCCTGCTCACCACCATCACCACCTGGCCTGCTTACCACCACCTCCACCTGTCTTGTCCACCGCCGCCACTATAGATGCTGCTTATCGAGGGCTTAGAATAGCTACCTATCAGCCACTAATACAGATGTTGCAACTACCGTATCAACAATGGAAGCGTCTATATGAGCCCACTTAACAAAGTGGGTTCATATCTTTAGCCATAACATGTTACCAGCCAGAACTCGAGATTTTTTCTACAGGAAATCCGTAAAAAAATGACCTGTCAACTTTATGTACTGAACCTATAAATAAAATCTATCATAGATCACCCAGCACCCCCATGACGGAAAGGAATCGACACATGAAAGATGCAATAGGAAGCCTAAGAATTGTTCTAAGTTTAGGTAGAGCAATAAAATCACCCCCCAGAGAGCAATGAGACTTGTGTGGTGATCCGAATAACACTATCTCCATAAAACTGCTGGAGCATGTGAGTCATGGAACTGTTGAGTAAATGGGTCTAAATTGTCTAACAAATCTGCTGACATTTTTTAGGAAAGTCTTCGAGGGAGTAGATAATGACGAAAATTACGATGTTATTTACTTAGACTTTAGCAAAACATTTGACAGAGTACCGCATCAGAGGCTTCTGAGAAAAATTAAGGCTCATGGTATCGAGGGGAAAGTTTTAAATTGGATAAAATCATGGCTCACCGATAGAACGCAGAGGGTCGGCGTAGATGGTGTTAAATCTAAGTGGGGTCGTGTAACCAGTGGGGTTCCCCAGGGGTCAGTACTAGGCCCACTCTTGTTCATAATCTACATAAACGATCTAGATACTCGGATCAGTAGTAACATAAGCAAGTTTGCGGATGACACCAAAATAGGGCGGCAGATTAATTCAGGGCAGGATGCAAATGCATTACAGGAGGATCTAAATAAACTGCAGGGGTGGTCTGAAAAATGGTAAATGAAATTCAACACCAGCGAGTGCAGCGTACTTAATATTGGAAGAACAAATACTGTCAATGTATACAGCCTTAACAACATCAAACTAGAGAAGTCGACTTGTGAAAGAGACCTAGGGGTACTTGTAAGCCCGGACCTACGGCCTAGAAAACAGTGCGTTAATGTTCGAAATAAGGCAAACAGAGTATTGGGTTTTATATCTAGAAGTGTAAGTAATAAGAGTGCAGAGGTCTTATTGCAACTATATCTTGCGCTAGTCAGGCCGCACCTCGATTATGCGGTTCAATTCTGGTGCCCTTATTATAGAATGGATATCAATTCACTAGAGTCGGTGCAGCGAAGAATGACGAAAATGATTCCGGGACTTAGAAACCTTCCATATCAGGATAGGTTAAAGAAACTAAACTTGCATACCCTAGAAAGACGAAGAGTGCGGGGAGATATGATAGAAGTATTCAAGTGGGTGAAAGGAATCACTAAAGGTGATATAGATAAGTTCTTATAATATCCGAGCAGGATAGGACTCGGAACAACGGATTCAAGTTGGATAAGTTTAGGTTTAGGAGGGAGATGGAAGGAACTGGTTTACAAATAGGGTGGTAGACGAGTGGAACAAGCTTAGCAACCTTGTAGTAAGTGCTGGAACTCTGGAAAGTTTCAAAGGGAGGCTGGATAGATTCATGGATGATAGAGAGTGGTAGTAACTCTCGACAGGAGCTGCCATGCACAGGCCAACCGGCCTATTGCAGACTCCTTATTTTCTTATGTTCTTATGTTCTTACAGCTACACATAGGTGTTTGGATTAAACACAACAGCACTACTTGCCACCCATGGAGTAAATTCTGAATGGAAAAGGGTTCTTAGTGGAGTACCACAACAATCTATTCTAGGACTACTCTAGTTTTTACAGATATAATTGTTCAGTCTAATACACGCTTATCTATCCTGTGATTAATGGAGATTTTCCAAGCACGAGGAATGTTTTTCAACTTTGAAGTGCGGTATACAGTATATGCATTATGCAGTCACTGATTAATTCATGGTTGCCTGTTTTTTTTCTAGCTTTCCGGCAAGCATATTAATATAAAAATATATGTTAGGGCACATTGAGAATTAGAGAATTGATAGCCAGTGACATCACGAAGGGGCTCCAATAATTCTGCTTGTGGGTAAGGGCTGAGAACTAAAAAATGCAGCGGACAAAAAAAAAATGGCCAGAATCCTGAAAATTACTCAAATGATACCCACATAGGTCGAAACTTGAAATTATGTATATCTCTTAACATTTTGTGGGTACACACATATGCTTACACCCCTTTATCAGTACCTTCTAGAGACGTCACTGGTTCATGTACAAATACAAAATACAGATAAAGAAGATTATAAAGTATCAAGCTGATGCAACATATTCTGAGGATGTCGTTGTTTTATTGTCACAATATCAAATTTATTTTGACAAAGATCTAGTATATAAAGTTGTTAGATACTTTTGCAATTTGTATCCAAAGTATCCTTTCCATACCATACTATTTGTAGTGTAATACGATTAAAATAATTATCCAATATAACATGAAAATACAAAACTTTCAATATAATCAAACTTCGAAAAATTATAAAAAATTTGAATTCATCGCAAATCACTACATATTACGTTTATTTACTTAAAATACGTCTCCAAACTTTCAAATATTATTTTGAATGAGCTAGTATTGATGAAAACATTGACATAAACAGTGAGGGTGCTGGGTGCCACTGAGACTGTGTTAGTGAGGTAGTGTCGTCGGCACCCAGCAGAGGTCCCCACACAACACCTCAGTGGCAAATTTGTGCCGCATGTTCTTTGACTGATGTTATACTGCTAGTCGAGGTATGTTGTCTGCAGGTGGTTGTACCATATGTTATACTGTGTTCTATATTGATTTAAAGTACTAAGGCCTTAATGTGTACTATTATCGTATACTATACTTACTATTTGTGTGAAATTCGCAAAAGAAAGTCACAAAGCTGGGATGAATGTATTGTAGGTTATACTGTGCCCTCACTAATAAATTAGTTATTTTTGGTACCCCATTACTTAGAGGATATTTGTATTTTTAAATAATTAGAGGCATTACGAGCCTTTAATGTAAGCATCGCTCATTCTAATGAAGCTTTTTTCTACCAGTGACTCGATGATTGAATGGTATTTCATGAACCCAGATTACTTTAATATGAATGAAGGGTCTTTCAGTCTGTTACCCTGAAGCAGACAACTGTATTCCATAGTCCAGACATCTGTTGTATTGTTTGTGAATAGTATTTTGGGTATTATCATTGCGGTTATGCAGCGAATTTTAGGATATTAAGTTAAGGTTGGATTAGGTTAGATCAGGGGTTCTCAACCAGGGGGGGAACTGATACTAATTTGGAAAAAATAAAGGATTTTCAGTATTATATGCATATTATTTGGAACGCTCTTTTTGAGGCAGACAATCTTGGAAAGGAGGGGGAAATGACATTCTGACATATGGTGAAAGGGCTGCATGGGGGCAAACGAGGTTAAGAACCACTGGGTTAGATTAAGTTGAAATTGTTTTTCCGATGGTTTTTGATGTGTTGTGAATGAATTCCAAATAGGTGCATGGCCGAAACGATAATTTTACTCCATTTTTGTCCATTTTCTCAAGATCTTTGTTGTTGGAGGTATTTAAGGACATCACAGGCTATAATTATAATGTCTAAATAACATGGATCTTGGCTTGCAGATTATCAAAATTCAGGGTTCAATTCCCCAAGCACTGTGCCAGCTTATTGCTAAGTTGGCCATACAGTTAACCTAAATGAAGTTGTTCAGAACTGTTTTAAGAACCAAGATATGCTAAAATAGTTAATGTATTGTGATAAGAACATCGGTATTATTGCAGTTTTGGCCAATATGTTGCCAACTGTTTTAATCATCCCCAACCTTTAGATCTCCTTATTTGGAGTATTTCTAACCCCATTTCTACCAGGTGGCAAAGAATAATAATGTCGGAAATGAATTTTGGTAAATTTGCATTGTCACACCGTTCACTTTTAGCACGTAAAAAATATATTTTTCTAGTGTATTTGTGTGTGTTTAGACCGAATGTGACCTTCATTTTTGGCGGAAATTAGCCGGGTTTTTTTTATCGATTTTTTTTTCGTTTGACGTTTTCCGAAAAAAAAGTGGTTAAGCGACTAAAAAATACACAAGAAAACACTAGAAAAACAAAAACCTAACCTAACCTAACTTAACTGACTCTCACCATATGATGGAATCACCTATTTCTTACCTTATTGGCCTGGTTCTTGTTCGTCGTTGCATTCTGGGATTCTTACACAACGCCACATATGTTGGGCTTTGCGATATTTACATTCAGTCTTGCTCTTGGTACACTTTACTGAGGTTGGAAGAACACCATGCGATCGAAAAAATGCTATAGTTTCTATGTTTTTTTTCCAAAAACTCGCAATCAGCTCCATATACTTTAAGTGACATCCATCGCAGACTTCCATGGTCGGAACTGAACTTGAATTTCAAAATATGAGAGACCCAAAATAAAACTCGATTTTCATTGGGCCAAATATACTCTGAATTAAACCCCAAATCATTTTAATTGGTTCCAAAAGCAAAAACGCTTTTGATTGGCCGCGTGACGTGTACGGGAAAGCATGCGCATGATGATTTATGAAGGAGATGCGAGAGACACGCAGTGTTGGGTGAGAGGCAGACGATAATGGCGGGTGGTTAATGGAAGAAAATAAAAAAAATTTTGGAAAAGCAATCTCCGTTATTATTCATTTCCGCCGGTAATGTAATAGATGAAAATTATCTTATAATTAGACGTCTTATTTGAATATGATAATAGATTAGTGGTAGGAATGAACGGTGTGTAAACGCAATAATACCTGAATTTTAAAGATTTTCCATGCTTTTGGGGGGATAACTAAAATGGGTACTTCCCCTGGAAATAAAGGTCAAATTCGATATAATCACACCAAAATACACAGGGTAAACTAATTTCTAAACTACTAGGGCATATTGGCCGAAATTGCAATTTTACCAGAACATCCCTGGAAAAAATTAATGGAATCGAACAAATTCTAGTGGTAGCAGTGTTCCCATAAATTACCAGAAATAAATACTCTATGTAAAAAGTTGAGAATATGAACAAAATTACATTGAGAAAGAATAATGAATAATAACAAATGAAAGTTAAGCACCACTGAGCAACCTTGCCTACAATATTCATTCATCTGTCTCGTAAACATTGGAAGCTGGAGGCCTAAACCATTAATTATGACGAACATTATGAACTACTCTGACCCAACCCAACCTACTTGACCTTACCTAATTTTTTAATTTGAAATTATAAAAAAAATAATAAAAGTTGGTCATAATCTTCTCTTTTGTCTTTATTGGGTTTCAAGAATTCTCAGTGTTTTGTAGTTTATTGATTTTGAAATGAAGTTGACAAATTGTAGCAATGTTTAAGGACAAGGGACTGGGTTAACCAGCTACCTAATGGAAAAAAATGGCTAGTTCTGTATATAGAAAACACTGGCTCAACAACAACGGTTTTTTTAAGAGGCTTTTTTTTGTATTATTACTATTATTATGTTGGAAGCATTACATTGCTTAGCATTTGGGGTTGATCTGTCAGTTGGTTGCTGTGCATGGGTATGTCAATACAGTATAGTCTTGATTTATGCTGTCAATTGAACCCGTGGAGGTCCGCGTAAAACGAGAAACGCGTAAACGAAATAACAGAACATATGGGATCAATTGAAGTAGAGACTGGGCCGACTCCCAAACTCCACTTTTTCCGTCACAATACGTACCTTGTAGTAAAAGTAACATCATAGTTTTATGATGGTATTGACACATAATATCTAAATAAAAAACTACACTACTGTACAAATATAAAGGTGTTTAACACTTAAGTTAGTAGAAGAGATGGGTCAGCACACGTGGATGGCGGCTGGTCCCGAGGCAGAGGGCAGATTAGTGGCCCTCCACTGAATCACTATCACTATTCACAAAGGTTTGCAGGGCCTCCCTGACAAACCCCTCAAAGTCCATATCCTCACTGTCACTATCACTGACTTGGGCTGGCTGTGGTTGTGGTGGGTTGCGGGCGAAGAATTCCGTAATATTACGTTGACGACTACCATTGATGTTGTCGTCATACATCTGGACATACGGCTCCATAAATTTCGACAGAAGGTTATTAGACACTTCATACCGATGACTTCCTTCACATAACCATGGCTTGGTCCAGGTAGTTCAAGGTTTCTCGGGGGTGGTGGGGGTCCAGCGGAAGCCATTGTGAGGGGAATAGCGGGCATAAGAGAGAACAGCATACGCGGAGACTGAGAACAATGAGACTGGCCCGGCTAGGTCAGCGACTTCTTCCCTCTGGTGGCAGGGCACGTCATGTTACATTAGACCAATCACAGCTAGCGGCGGAGGGAGGTAAGGATGCGTGGCCCAATCACAGTCTCATACGTCATATGACGTCAGCGATAATGTAAGAGCGACCTAATGCTCACCCTCCAGGTGCCGCTTCCCACGTAAATGATGGAATGAACTGCGTAACTTAAAATTTTCATTCTGGCAAGGTAAATCGAGACTATACTGTAGTCACTTGTAAAAAATTTGTCAATTGTTGCAGCAGCATTTTTATTTAAGGGGAAAAATCTGAATAAGAAAAGAGCTTTTCCTCCACCTGATTTGTTTTAGTTATGAGGCTAGATATAAGTAATACTATAGATATTTATTGTTAGGTGGCAGGATAACCCTGACCCTTGTCCTGAAATATTACTCAAACTGCCACTGAGTGTCACCAGTGTTTTGGTTGTAATATCTTAAGAATTATGTAGTTGCCAGCAATGAAAATCTTTCTGTAATTAATTAATATTATTTAAGCGCATATTCTTGTGGTAGTAAATGTTAGTATACTGTACTGTATTTCAAGATTTTGTTTTAAAGTTCAACATTCCTTTTTGTAGCATACTAACCCAAATGCTGTTTATACCACAATTTAAAATAAAAATGTGAAAATTGTCCACTAAATGTTGGTGTTAATGATGATATACCTACATCTATTAAGTTCTTTAAAAGCTGCTTTTAACCCTCTGTTAGTACCCTTGCAGCTTGTAACAGCCTTTAGTACCATGGGGTTGTGCTGCACCCCACACCAAAAAAGAAAAGAAAAAGTTTTACGGTACAGTACCTGTTGTCCATCTATGTCACTATGTATGTAAATTAACATCTTGTGAAAGATTGTGTAAAATACTGTTAATTTTTCATGTTTTGGTAGTGATCTGTGTATGTGCTAAAAATGCTTTTTTTTTTTTAATTATGAAAATTGGTACCGTACCGTATATATTACATGAAATCAATAAGACCTCTTTAAGTTGTACTACATGAGGCTCGAGGCTGCTCGACTTAAATAGAATTCCCACATGTGTGTAACCTCCCCCTGGGTGCTTCCAACCACCGTTTTGCCAAAATATCCTTCCCAAAAACAAACAGATATCAGTACACACTTTTATTGTAGCAGATGAATCTTGAGGTGGAGGACGATGGGAGGCTGCTTACACTTACAGTACGTATATTATTCACACTTGTATTAAGTTACACATATGTAGTATGCACATAATCTGGCTGATGTTGTAAAAAGTACTCCACTAAAACCCAAGCTCCTCACAGATAACATTCGTGGAAACCCCCAACATCAATTCTGTCGCAATCTTCAGTTTCTCTTCAATTGGTAGAGTTCTGAGCACAATTCCTTTTCTCCCAGTAGTCTTTAGTGGTGTTGTTTTGCCTTTTCATCCATTAGAGGCAATGATAACACACTAGGGAAGCTCTAAATACGAACAGAAGACTGAGTGCACGGTGGAGAAGTGGTTGCAACGACGAATTCGTGAGAACTGCCACCTCGTGACTGCCTTGTGGCCCCTCTTAAGCCAGAGCGTAGTCTTGACTTAAGAGGATTAATGATTTACAGAAGTCCTACTTAGAGATGTCTTACTGTATTGGCAAACATGCAGAATAATGGAATATGAAACAAATTCTTTACTTACCACACCTGCTATAATGGTCAGGGAACCACTGTCCTCCGTTTTTTCACCCCCAGAACTGCGAGACATAGAAGTTCGTCTCTCCATTCCTGATAAAGGCCTACTGAGGATGCTGCTCACATGTCCACTCTCTTAGACCTAAAAAAAAAAATGCAGAAACACCATATGCATTTAAATGCCTCGGTGAACAAATGAGCGTATCTGTTGACGTTGACCACAATTTTTTTTTTGTCAGCTTCAATGGTCGTTGGCCACAGTTTAAAGGTTAATAGAGGAATACCTGTAATTGAAAATTAAACAAATCAAAGCTTCAGATCACTTAACACAAAAAATATGTGATTATAAACATACTGTATAGATATACAGTACTGTACAGTATTTGTTCGTCTAAACATTTTCCAATGAATCATTTTGAAATAAAAACATCACTGGTTAAGGCGAGAGCTGCCTTATAGTATTGTACTGTCGCCTTCACTTACTATACATCTTCAATATAAAAAATAATAAAAAAATTGCCATAATGAATACTAATACTTTACTCAACAAAACCTTTGCTGAAGCAAATATTGGTATATTTGGCATGTATAAGCTCTAAAACACTTGCCGGTATTGTTTGACAAATAGTAGAAAGATCATTAATCCAGGAAGACGTACCATGTTGATTACTGTACTGTGGTATATTTTGCTTCCCAAGCCACAAGAAACCATATGTTGCCGTCAGCTCAGCTGGGGTAGAATAAAAGAAACTAGGTGTGTAGTCTGTTCTCAGTTTTAGGAAACTGCCAGGAACAGTAAAGGCATAAGTGTTGTTCTCTGTTGGTGGGATTATTTATACACAAAAGACCCACCCTGGGTATGAACAGGGTTAAATAGCAGGTGTCTTGAGTGTTATATTAAGCCATTTACTCAACCAACCAAACTTATCTTCTAATGATCATTGAATACTTTTGAGGTAAGTTAGTTAGGTTATGATGGGTTGTTTTGTCTATTTTAGTGGCTCAATTTTTTTTCGGCTTCTTATGATGTTGGAATAAGGCACTGGTGATGCTCAAGGATAGTTCAGCTTCATTTTAAAATGGGGAGGGAACAAAAAACCTTTCTTATTTTATAACAATTTCCAAATACTCTACCATAGTTATGGCACAAAAGGAAAGTAAACTATCAATCTGTACAGTTCTGTACTATATTACCATGTGACATGTTATGAAATTTTCAGTTGGTCAAGTTAGATTTGATTTGATTACTGTAGTTCATTTTGGGGTCCAGGGTACTATTTTCTGCAGTGCAGTACATGAAGGTCTTTCTTCACCATTTCTCCTGAACACAATTGGTCATTATAGATTTCATATGATATGGGGAAAAAAATTGCTGGCCATTAGTAGTAGTACAGGTACTCCCCGACTTGCGACCGACTCGACTTACGTCCACCCGCACTTACGACCTGCCTCAGTCGTTCCAAAATGTGGTCAAATTATGTATTTTTGAGTCTCAAAGTCAGTACACAGACAATATTTTCATCTGTAATTCACTTTAAAATGGCTGGCAAGCTTAAAAGTTAGTGTTTTGTGGTGCTGAGAAGAAAAAGAGACCCAAATTTTCGATTTTCTATGTGTTATTTAAGCATTTCCAACTTACGACCATTTCGACTTACGACCTGGATGTCGGTCCTTAACCCCGTCGTAAGTCGGGGAGTACCTATATTTGGAAACACCACAAGGTTTTCCTTTCCATTTTTTGGACAAGAGAACCCGTTAAGAACCCAGCTGTGAACTGTTAGTAGGTGATAGTAAGTATGTCTGCTGTTAATAATTCCTAATATGTGCATGTTCCTTAGTTTGTTATCCTACCATTATAAGAGTATTTGTGTTTTGGGTTCATTGTAAACTGCAAATTATATATTTTTTTGTGCAAGCAAATAAACTGCCAGTGTATTCATATAAAGACCAGTGAATATTAATAAGCTTGAAATATTTATCTCCTTCAGGATGGCCCTCAAAGAGACAAACTGTCGTAGTACTGTATACTGGAACAGTATTGTATGAGGGCCATAATTAATGCATACTGTACTGTGTTCTTTTCCATAGCACGATGAGTGAGCGATTGGTTCCAGTACCAGAGGTAGACAAGATCTCATTTTCTGGGGAGGAAGAAAAAGTAATTGAATTATGGAAGAAACTTGATGTTTTCCACTCTTGTTTAAAGCAGAGCAAGGATCGACCAAGGTAAATATTGAAGTACATGTACATTTGTGAGAATGGAGTGTTAATTTTATGTATAACCTAGTGCCTGGCTTAGATGACTCGTATTACCAACCAAAGTACCTCAACTTTGGTGGCTGGGACTAATTGAATAATTAGGTGTTCCTGTTACAACCATAGTATTTGGGTTAAACTGGTCATGATTTCAACCCAGGTAGTTTTTCTTGTTTTTTGTTAGCTATTAGGTAGCTAGTTAACTGAGTTATACCTCCTGGACTGTTACAGAAGAAGTGTTTCATACAAAATTCCTCCTTTGACCTTGGCACACACAAAAAGGGAGAGAAGGAAAATTACAATGCAAAGTGCTATGAGCCCCTTAGATGAGCTGTCACAGCATGTTGCTCCTCCCGCTTTCTTCTCTCTTCAGTTGCCAGCTGCCTTGATAGCAGGATGGCTAGTGTGTAAATGTACTACTCGTTTGTTACATATTAAATCCCATGGCTTAACTGAGAGTTGCCCTTGATGAAATTGGTAAAACAGCAAGATGTAACTGTCAGCCAATGTGACCATACAGTACACTGTATTAACAGCATGCTATTTTCTGCAACTGTTATGTCTTTTCATTCCTCTGGGGGTGTTGGCCAACGTTTTAGTTTCCCTGTTTATTCAAACACTAATACCCTATAGATATGTTTGACATAGTAAGTCAACAGTTTCTGAGAGGACGTGCAAGGCTGTCTAGTTGGTGTAGTCAATAGAAGTAGCATGTCTCCAATGGTAGTAAGTCCTCCATCGAGTATGGACCCAAATACCCAAACAGAGCAGCAATTAGTATTGCTTAACGCTCAACTAGTTGGGTTACATATCATGATTTTGCTGATATTCGGTGAGCTATACAATGCAAATGTCCATCCCAAGCTAAAAATTATCTCTTTTTTTTTGCTGCTTCTTGACTGACACAGTAGCCCTTGATAATAACCTTCCAGTGAGGGGGTTATCAGTCAACCCATTTTCCTCAGTTAGAGTGGATTCCTTGCCATCATCTTTTGGGGTGACATGACTTTCTCTTCCCTTTCAGGGTATTTTTAATATAGGGGCAATTGGGGCATGGTCCTGATTGGCCCCCCTTACCCCAGGCCCCTGGCACTGTCAAACAGGCCCACTTTAGTCAGTACCATCAATCTGAGGATATGAATCAAGTACCGAGGGAGTGGCTGAGGCATGGGTGATGTAACTGGGCATTTGAGGGTGTGACTGAAGCATGGGCGGCTTGACTGTGGCATGGGCAGTGTAACTGAAACACTGAGGGTCACTGAGGCATGGGTGGTGTAACTGAGGCCCTGTGGGTGTGATCGGGACACTTGAAGGTGTTTGCATTATGATTAATAGCACAAACTAACAAAGCATTATAACTTCAATAATGCATCAAAATACAGTAATGGTGAAAACAAAGCAAACATGAGGTCAAAGAGATAAATATGTCAGTGTGGGTGGTCGCAATCAGCTGAATGAGTAACTGCTTATGGATGGGGTCAGAGGTTGTCACCATATGGAAACAGCTGCTGAACATGTTTAGGAGTTGAAGAGTGCATTAGCAAAGTGGAGCAAGTTTTGACAGATTTGGGAAAAAGTCAAACACCGAGCTTATTAACATTTTTTTTTGTTTAACCGCAGTCGAACAGTGTGTCTCAAGGGTTAAGCTAATTTAATGGTTAATGATACAGTACTGTATATAAGTAATGAGAGCATAACAGTACAGTGCTGTATGTGAAATACTGTATAATGATAGTGAAGTGCAGTGCTGTACAGTTATAACGAGAACATTTTCTCTCTCATGAAAGATTTTTGATCATGGTTGAAATATCTGTTGGTTTGGAACCGATTAAAATTAGCATTAGATCATATAAATCTAAAATCCTTGATGTATTCATGATTTCCTGATTGAATCTCGGTGATTAATCGAACTTCATTGCTTGCAGAAATGCTTTTTGGTGAAAGCGAAAATTTTTTTTATTTATTTTTTTTTATTTATTTTTTTATTTATTTTATTTTAATTTTTTTTTAGATTCACCTTTTTTGATGGACCACCATTTGCCACTGGTCTTCCTCACTATGGACACATTCTAGCTGGAACCATCAAGGATGTGGTAACACGTTGGGCTCACCAGACAGGTCACCATGTGGAGCGTCGATTTGGTTGGGACACGCATGGTTTACCAGTGGTATGACATTCTTTTAAATTTGTGTCTCATTTTAAGTGATGAATTATAAAGTTATCTTTGTCTTCAGTATTCATCTTATACAGTACTGTACTTCCTGATAGCTAACCATATACATGTAGTAGCTTTGTCAGCTTTCCTTGGTCAATTTGCCTTCTTATTTACCATTTTTATATACTGTACCTGCACTGTCTCAGCACAGAGGGACTCCCACAGCCTACTTGCACTGTATATCTACATTGACTATATTCATGCCGACAACTGCTTAGTTTATATACATGCTTATCCAGTTGTAAACCTGCATGACAATTTTATTGAATAAATAATTTTACTGGTTTTATAATTTTGAAGGAATGTACCTTCGATGTTGTGTAATTTTCTCTCAAAGGCAGTCACTCCTATGTTTCCATTTGATTAGCTTGGTAATGCCTTAACTTTGTGTTTGTGTTGTCATATTTTCATAAGAAACATCCTCTCTAAGGAATATGAAATTGACAAAACACATGGAATCAATGGACCTGAAGATGTTGCCAAGATGGGGATAAAAAAGTACAATGAGTTGTGCCGAAGCATTGTTACGAGATACGCCGATGAATGGGAGGTCATCATCTCTCGTCTAGGGCGGTGGATTGGTGAGTAAAATATATCCATATAAGGTGTAGATCATAGCTATATAATCCCACAATTTGGCTGAAGTACATCTATGTGCTACGTATATAGATTAGGATTGAATATATCTTATTATTGCCTAATTTGGGATACAGTAATTTAGAATTGAGATTTGTCCTTTGTCAATGAGCTACAGTTTATACCACTCGGAAGACTGATTGCAATATGGAGATAATAAATATGGTACATACTTGAGTCACAGGCTCATATTTACAAAACTTAATCTCTCATTACAATGTCTTACAACCCTTGCGATCTTAGTTAATCATAGTGTGTCTCAACCTTTACCATGATTTACTCCCAACTTGTATATGATTTTTTGAGGAATAAAGCAGTAGTTTTAAATAAATGTTTCCTCTTATTTTGCTTCACAGATTTCAAGAATGATTATAAGACCTTGTATCCCTGGTATATGGAAACAATCTGGTGGGTGTTTTCTCAGCTGTACCAAAAAGGTCTTGTGTACCGTGGGTTCAAAGTGATGCCCTTCTCAACAGCTTGTTCAACTCCTTTGTCAAACTTTGAGGCTGGACAAAACTACAAGGACACCCAGGACCCATCAGGTGAGCTACAGTGTTGAAATGATATAACTGATTTTTTATTAAATTGTATGCAAATTACAGAAGAGCCATTTCATAATCCAAGTTTTGGGACAGAGAGAAGGTATTTTGATTACCCGGTAGACTGTTTTGAAACACGATTAAATGGCAAAAATGTAAATACTGTACTGTAAAAGGATTTGATGTTTGATGTAAGGAATATACAGGTCTCTCTCTCCAATTGCTGTTTCCAAGTCTCGGGTATAATAAAATGTACTGACTTCCTCTCGTGGTTCAATTCTGGTGGTGGCGAGTTTTGGCAAAAGAGCAGGCGGGAATACCACAATGTTTCTCTAAAGTAATTTATATTCTAATCACATATGAAACAATGATAATGATAGTAATGGCATGCATTAATTATACTGTTATTACTATAATAAATGGCACCACCTACAAATGCACTTGCAAAGTAAACAGGCCATATTGGTTGTTTACGACTTTTTGTATTACATTAGGCTTCTTGTCTATTGTAGGTTTTGATTTGTTGGGCTCTTCTAATGCATTTATTTTGACTCTTTATTCAATGGTATCATTGTTTTATATGCTTTAGATGAGTTGATATCTTTTATAGGATTTTACCATGTTCATTTATATGACTTAGAACTTCAGTTGTGGGTCTTCTGGGGTAATGTTTATGATGGTCTAGGAACATATCCCCTATTCTACCATGTTATACAGTAATCTCCCTGTTAGCCGAAATAATTGGTGCAGAGTTGTTCCGGGATTAAGAGATTTCTGGGTATGGAGATGAATTTTCTCACCCCCAGAAAAAGTTGCACAACCCTGGAATTTTTCCAGGTACTGGGGAAAGTTTTCCGAGAGTCTAAACTACACATGTCGCATGGTCAGACAGAGAGCTGTGTTTATTAATGCAAACACCACTGTACACATATAATACAGTATATAATAAAATATACTACTGTACTGTATATAGCTGCTGTACTCACCAGCAGATGTTGTAGTCTTGAGCTTGTGATGCTGGCAGGCCAAATGGTGATACTGTATGATGATTGAGGATGGCCTGCCTTTGTCCTGTACCATCTCATATATCAGGTGTTGCTAACTGTCACTTTCCTCTCCCTACATGCAGGAGGGAATGTACTTGCACTGTATACTGTACACACACTACACACTAGCATACACTGTCCATTCTGCTGTGTACAGTACTGAGTGTGCAGTACAGTATACATAACTGTCATCACTTTTTACATCTTAATACTTTAATGGTATTCTTGGCTGATTATGTGCTTGAAGAGATAGACTGCGAGATACATCAGCCAATCATAGGCATCCCATGCAGTCATATGACAATAGTGGTCAATCAGAGCTCACAAGCACTTTGAGTCTACCCACCCAAGCTCGTGGCATGCATCCTCGTGTCAGAAACCTGATGCAATCTCCCGGAATGGAAAGACTTTCTCAGAATGCTTAAAAAAAAATTCCTGAAATTGTCGAGTTCTGGGATCGAAGATCCAGCTAACGGAGAGATAACTGTAGTTGGCTCTCCTGTGTCAGATTTCTTAATCATGGCCTTGTCAAGGAACATATACCCTGTGATAGAATGAATAAGGTAGGATAATTAGTAATACAGTATGAAGAATGTATTTGTTCTGGGTGATACAGTATATTGGTGCTGTGAAAAAAAAAATACTGTAATACATGATGTTTGTCGTATTTTTTCATTAGTTGTGGTCAACTTCCCGTTATTGGATGAACCTAGTGTTGTACTGGTGGCATGGACAACTACTCCATGGACACTTCCCTCAAACCTGGGCCTTTGTGTTAACCCAGAGATGGACTATGTCAAAGTTCAGGGCAAAGTAAGTTCAGTCTTTGTTTTTCATCTTGTAGTGAGCTCAGTCAGTTATCATTATCAGTACTATACTACCTTATCCTAAATTGAAGGTAGATGATTCATTTAAGATCATTGACAATCATTTATTTTTACTTGGACAAACTTTGAAGTGTAAATTAAGTCTTATCAACAATACTCCAACCATGTACAAGTTTTATGTGATAATTTGGCTAGTAACATATATTAAATCTTGAAGTAACAATATATGGTATATATATAGTGTGTTTATGTATTGATCTGTGGAATGGTTTTGTGAAATTGAAATTAATATACTGTACAGTACTGTAAAGGATCTCTGTCGTTAGACTTTATCTGGAAGCTGGATTTCATTCTGACATACATAGGGTTAAACAGGTACACTAGATTGCAACCCGGGTGTGGGCAGGCTACCCCAACCCTCTTAAGGCTCACAAGTTAGTAGTTAAGAAGGGGTAGCTGTTAAGCCTATCATTGTCCAGTAGACTAGCTGCCTGACTACCAACCATGGTGGGGCTTGTTCGAACTCGGCACCCAGGGGTGTAAATTTTTTACAATATGTACATTCATTTACAGTGGTCCCTCGGCTAACGAACGCCTCGGTTAACGAACTGCTTCCCATAAGATTCTTAAATTCGGTTAACGAACAAAAATTCGGTTTACGAATTTCTTACGAACCGACCTCAACATGTTTTCGCTTGCACTGGCCGGTCAACCAGCTTTAGTATTAGTCCGCCAATACATTAATCGGTTCTAGGGCTTAAATTCCTTACTATTTTAGTAAATATCAAGAAGTTTATACTATTCAATAATTTTAAAAGTTTAATATTCAATTTTTTAGTCATTTTAACAATTATTGAACATAATTGAAGGTAAAGTGACTAGTTTAATGCGCGGCATCCAGCCTCTTAACACAGCAAACAGGTGTTAGTCTCTCTCTGTTTTCACATCTTGCTCGAGACTCTCTTCAACAAAACGCTTTTTTTCTGTGTTTCCAAGCAAATTATTGGTCATTTTGTAATATATTTTACATATTGACAATATATAATGCAGTGCAGTGTTGATTTAAAGAAAATAATCTTGAAATACACCAAGAGAACTAAAATTTTATGGGTGAAATGGTGCCATGGGGTGACTTCTCTTCCACCCCAGTGCCTTCTCTTCTTCCTTCTCCTCCACCCCCATTCTAATTCCCATCATCATCATCATCCAGGAGCCTTCTACATACACACTTCAAAGTAAGTGAACTTTTCTACCATTTTTGTTGAATTTAGGCAATTTTCGGTGAGCTGGAACCAATTACCCAAAACCCATTGAAACAATGGTTTCGGTTAACGAATTTTTCGGTTAACGAACAACCTGCTGGAACGGATTGTGTTCGTGAACCGAGGGACCACTGTACTTGTGTTTATTACAGGTTCTGATAAATTACAGATTCTGTTCTATATTGTAAAATTAGATGATCCTCAATAAACTCTCTAATGTATGGAGGTACAACTTTGGTGAATAAATACAGAATATAAGTAGGACACTGCTCTAGTGGGTGTCTTAGAAGAAATGTTACAATTGTTTGTCATTGTGCTAGGAAAATTTGTGTACTTGAAGAACTTTGGTAGTAAATGTGAATAAACTTATGGAAAAGGGAGATAGGGAGAAAAGATCATGAGGAGGAAATAGTGTGATTGCTGGTGAGTGGGAAGAGGTAGAACAAGGAGGCGATGGAAGAATGAGGATAGGCTAAAGAATGTATTATAAGTGATGGGGATGGACAACTTCAAGGAGCTTTAGATTATTGAGTGGTGGGCAGGGCATCAAGTGATTTTGGGGGGGAGAACATGCTGCTAATAGGTGACTGTGAATTGTGTCAAAAGAAACGGGTATTTCAGACTAGGTGCTTTGTTATGGCAGAACACATTTTTAGTAGTAAGGATGTTTGTGTGTTTATTTTTGCTTTCGGGCACCTTAGTTTGAGTAGGAAAGAAGTAGAAAATGCAGAAAATTACATACTGTACAGTACATTGAATAGAATTATTTTTACTGTTATTATTATTACTACTTGTATTATTATATGGTGTGTCAATGATTGAATTAATAATACAGTATATCTTAATATTTCAATGTAATTTTTAACCAGACAAAGGAGAGAAATGGCACCTACATTATGATGGAGGCTCGCCTGTGCCAGCTCTTCAAGGATGAGACGGAATATGATGTTTTGAAAAAGTACAAGGGAAAAGACTTGGAGGGGATCCGTTACCAGCCACTCTTCGATTACTTTAAACAGGTAAGATGTGTGAAGAATGTTAGTGAACAGTAGACTCAGAAGCTATTTCTAGTGACAGGATTTAAGTCTGTCAGAAGGAATTTTTCCTGTTTAGTGTTTTATATAAATAATGCACTTATTAATTGGTTCACAGTTAGACGGGGGGTAAGACAGGGCTGTTTTTTATCTCCAACATTGTATAATATATATTTGGATTTCTTAATGTGCAGTTATAAGTGATAATGAATGACTAAAAGTTAATGGTAAAGTAATACCAGATATACGCTATGCAGATGATACCGCTCTTATCACAGATAGTGAAGAGGCATTACAAAAACTCTAACAAATTAGTGGAAAAAAGTGAAATACAATTTATGGTTTAAGAGTTAATGCTGTAAAAACTAAAGTAATGGTTGTTTCCAAATTGGAAATACAGTAAGTCCTCTGTTAACATCGTGGTTATGCTCTTGTAAACTGTGACGTTGTGTGAAAATTTTAATGGGATAAATTTTTCCCATAAGAAACTTGAGAAATAAGCAGGTTTTATTCCCAGCCTCCCTTCACCCCTATAACATACATCATATTTAAGACAATATAAACCCAATTGTAAATACCTGTATATTTTGCACTGTAAATACATACTGCATAGACATAAACTATAATAATTTTAAATTAATATTTAGTACGATATATTCTACTCACCGATGGGCCAAAGGTGAAGCGAGCGAGTGGTAGGATGGTGGCGGTGGCAGAAGTTACTGAGACTCGGCACTTCCAACACTGGTCTTAATTTTATCAGCACTAACCCAAATAGTACTCATTGAGGTAGCGGGTAATACCACATTCACCGGTTTCAAGCAACGTAAAACATGCATCTTCATTGCCATACTGATGCTTCTCTCAACTAGCACTATACTTGGAAAATCACTTTCTGATCATTTCGAAGCCATTTCAATATGTAAAGTAGAGCAACAACATAAACAAGGTACACACAAGGTACACAGAATACGCAACACATCCACACTCAACAGAGGCGTGAGCATGACCGATGCTCCGCATTACTAGGTAGGCGAGGGAAAGTGTTGCGTGGATCCTTGGTTTAGAAATAGTATTGACGTAATAAAACAATATTAACTGGGACAAAGTTAGGTGTGGACTTAGTGTAAATCCTCAACTAAAAATTATGGTAGGCAACTGGGAACTTAGGGGAAATTTTTGTGTAATTGGGAAGTAACATTCGCGCTGATAGTAAATGTTTGGAAGAAATCAAAACAAGAATAAGGCAAGCAAAAACAGCTTTTAATAAATGTAAAAAGACCAAATGAAAAGGGACATTAACATCGATTTGATAAACAGGCTGCTGAAAAGCTTTATATTGCAAGGACTGATGTATTAGTCCAAAGCTTGGACACTTTCAGTAGACACCAGAAAGAGGTTGGAGGCCTTTGAAATGTGGTGTTATAGGCAAATGATAAGAATAAACAACACTGACTGGAAAAAATGACAATATCCCCTGTACTAAGAGTGGCAAAAACTTCTAGAAAAATATGTAAAAGTACAGAAAAAATGAAAAATTAGATACTTTGGTCATAAATACTGTATATATATAATTAAGATGAAAGGGATAATAACAGAATTATTAATGGGCAAAGTTGAGGGTAGGAGGGCCTTTTTTCATGTTCTGAAAGCTTGTTCCGCTTATATGAATTTGGGTCTCTGCAAATATTCAAATCTTGCACCCCTGGTAGTCAGTTTGGGCAGCCACATTCCCCAAGTGCTCTCCCTACCAGGCTGAAGTAGGTGTTATGTTATGGTTATTTTTTAACTTGTAATTTTGGGTAGATAAAGTTAACCTTCTTTAAAAAATTTATTCAGTTATGTGCATGCACAACCCTACAAGCATTTTGTGCAAGAAAGTAAAAGAAATTACTATTATAAGGTCAAAAACAAAGAGAATAAACATTTCTTTGTGTGTGAGAGCGAGAGGGGAAGCGTTGCTTAGGGTTGGCAAAGGCAACTCCCCAGCTGGGCTGGGCTGCTATGGCAAGGCTCGAGGGTGGCCTTGCGTGACACAGTCGGCATCTGTGCAAATGGCGTTTGTATTAAATTTTCATTTATATTTTCCTTCATGGTTTTAGCTGCATATTTTCATCTAACTAGTATTTTATTGATGTTTTTAATGTGTTAGTAAATTACAGTACAGTAGTTGTGTACTATTTATCATTAGTTAGGTAGGTTTTTTTGTTGTTTGAGAACTGATTTAATGTTTATGGGGTATAATATTGGGGTTTCCTTGCCATTGGGGGACCGGACCCTTTTTTTCCCTTACTTGTAGTATGTTCATTTATTTGCAATACGGAAATTCACTTAACAACTGGTTTTTGAGGAACCTCACCCATTTGTATCGTGGGGGATACCTGTAAGCCATATTCTTTGATCCATTTTGACAACTTAGTGTGAGCCATCCACCTGATTCTGTTTCAAATTTTTTTTTTTGAGAATACTCAAAACTATTATGCTTAAAAAAGAATTTCAGCATCATTGAAAAAACCTCCCGATGTAAATACAGTATATCTTCTACATCCTTTTTATGAAATGCACACCTTACAGCTTGACAAAATATTTACTATTACACTCATCTATATTTCTGATATCAGCATAAAAATGAAGAGGAAAAGAATTGCACCTTGATTGCTGGAAGTACCCCCTCTGGGTGACTTGAGATATTCCTGTTCCTTGAACCTTGGAAGTACCCCTTTTGTGTGACACAGTGACCTATCTGCTACCTATTCCTTTACATTTGTAATGTTTACAGCAAAAGATTAATAAAATCTGTATTCCAAGTGAAAGTACAGTACAGTATATCTAAAGTGCACTATTTATGTTTCAGAAAGCGAATGATGGAGCTTTCAAGGTATTGTGTGATGGTTATGTGAGCAGTGACGCAGGCACGGGTGTGGTTCACCAGGCTCCCTACTTTGGTGAAGATGATTTCCGGGTGTGTTTAGGTTATGGAATTGTCACTCGTGATGAAAAGCCAATCTGCCCCGTGGATGATGCGGGTCGTTTTGTCCTTCCTGTGACTGACTTTAAAGGAATCCATGTCAAAGATGCAGATCCTGATATCATAAAGCTTTTGAGATCCCAGGGAAGAGTTGTTCAGGCAGATCGTGTTAACCACAGTTACCCCTTCTGCTGGAGGTCAGACACCCCTTTGATCTATCGTGCTGTTCCCTCCTGGTTCATCAGGGTAGAACAAATGCAAGAAAAGCTTTTGGCCACTAATGAGAAAACTTATTGGGTACCTAGCTTTGTTAAAGATAAAAGGTATGTGCTCAGCTCTTATGTTCTGAAAATTTTGTATTGAAATTTGCTTAAAATTATTTAATCATTTAGGTAGTTCATTAGTTAAGTAGTTATTGGAATTACAGTTTTTACTTTAGATATTCTAAATGTTTCTAAAGTTCCTTTTAATACAGGTTATAGTGTAACAAATTATTCAACAGGGTATTTGTATTTATTTAATTATTAATTTTTATTTATTTTTAACTTGGGGTCTTTATTAGAGGAGATTTCCTGGCCTGTTGCCCAAAAATGCACCTTTGTGGAATACAGGATTCTTAGCTTAAATCATTAAAACATGGGGTTAGCATACAGTATGTGATTCCCAGAAAAGAAAAAAAGGAATTTTTTTCAGCAAATGTATTTAGTGCTGATTATTCCACCAGATGTGAAGATGGTTTGTAGCTGAAGCATTATTTACGATTATGTGTTTGGTCAATCCCTCAAGGTACTATATCTGACTGAGTGCTTTATATAAGGTTGATGGAATGAGAGCTGAACAAGGTAATTTATGAGTTAACAAGGTCATATCAAATTTTTTCCATTTAAATAGAGGTGTTATTATAATTAAATTGGATTGTGGATAAGATTGAGGACAAGTTTAAAGTTGAAGCTAAGGGATGCCAATGTTAGAGTTTTTTGCCATGGTTACAAATGTTTATTGTGAGAAAACTTCTCATAGGTTCCCCTCACAGAAGCCAGCCATACCTCCTCTCTCTGAAAGGAGGCAGAGTTGGATGCAGATGTAGCCTCCATGCATACCTCCTCTCTTAACTACACACAACCCAGGCCACTGCCCATTTGATAAGGGATGTTCCCAGATCCCATTATTAGTACTAACCTCTGCATCTTCCAATGATAGGAAGAAAAAAATGTGACTTTAGGACTCATTCATTCACCAAAGCATAGAATAAAAACATACAAAAACTAAAGGACAGGCCCCTTGCTTGACTGCCTAGGTTGCCAAAAGAGTGATGCTTGTGCAGTTAATCCTAATTGGTGGAATGATGCAGGTTTTAGTAGAGCTGTCCAAATTAGCTTGGGGATGACTTAAAATTTGCAAGACAGGAAAAAATGCAAATAGGTGAAAATACATTGTGCTTAGGAAAAGTGTTCACCGATTTATAAATTTTGTATATGCGTATAGTGGTGACTGCCTGTAGAGTGTTCCACTGTTGAAGTTTCTGAAAAATTGGAACAGAATGACAGCCATTGTAATTTGTACACGAGTTAAGTAGATGGGTATGGAGAAGACTCTTGAAGGGAATGTTAAAGAAGAAGTTGCGGATGTGTTTAAGAAAGGATCATATCAATGGAGGCAGTTATAGGCATGGATACAAGATATACAGTATGCAGGAATTTTCTGCATTAACCAGTCAGTTGTATATTGTATAGTTTACAGTGTGTAAACCAGCAACTAGGGAAAATTAATACTTAATTTATAATAATAATCTTGGAATTTCCAGAGTTGGGAAATATAATACAGTACAGTACTGAAACCTTTTTTCAGGTTTGCCAACTGGTTAAGTGATGCACGGGATTGGGCAGTTAGCCGCAACAGGTATTGGGGTACTCCCATTCCCTTGTGGGTGTCTGAAGATTTTACAGAGGTATGTACTGAAGAAAAATCTTTAGAACTTTTTACATTTGTGTGTAATTAGTTCAGATATCTATCGGCACCTACAATTTTCTTGGTGGTATTTTTTAGTATAATTGCAGCAAGTTAGTAAATGACGAATTTGTAAAAAAAAAATTATTATAAAAATAACTACTGCATCTAAAATTGCAAACTGAACAGTTTTATATCAGGTAAAAGGTTCATCCTTGTGGTCCACCTCCAGGGCTTCCTAAATTTTTCTTCTTAAAATAGAATACACTATATTGTAGTAAGTACAGTCTCTCCTCGACTTACGACAACCCGGCCATACGACGGCCATGGGCATATAAAATATTTTTCACATTGTGTATATTTGAGTCCTGACGTTAATGTGTACTGACAAAATTTTTGTTTGTAATTCCCTTTAAAATGGCTGGCAAGCGTAAAAGTGAGAATTCTTGTGGTGCCGAGAAGAAAAAGAGACACCCACTTTAGAATTTCTATGTATTATTTTTGCCTTTTCGACTTACGACCTGGTCGTCATAAGTCGAGGAGAGACTGTAATCAAGTATTTTATACATTTGATTTAAATAACTTGCCAAGCCATCTCCAGTGTACCTTATCATCCACCATGTGTTTAACTTTGTTGAAACCTCTTATATTTATAGTTTGATAAAGGAGAAATAATTAAATTCTGAAGAGATAACTACAGTACCTGTATGTAGAAAATGTTTCTGTTGTGGCTGTGGCAACTGTACGAATTCTGGAGGTGTCCATTGTGGTTTCATATTATTTAGACACTATAGTTTCAGTATTTCTCCTCTTATTATTCTTAAAATAGATTTTATAAAGTAATATCCCAGTAAAAAAGAATTCTGGATAAATAATTAAATTCTGAAGAGATAACTACAGTACCTGTATGTAGAAAATGTTTCTGTTGTGGCTGTGGCAACTGTACGAATTCTGGAGGTGTCCATTGTGGTTTCATATTATTTAGACACTATAGTTTCAGTATTTCTCCTCTTATTATTCTTAAAATAGATTTTATAAAGTAATATCCCAGTAAAAAAGAATTCTGGATACTGGAATTCTCTGATAGCCAGAATTGAGAAAGTGGCGCTACAGAAAAATGCTTGAAACATTGAAAGATTACTTTGATATAGGAGGTGTTGTTTAGATGATTTTGTGGAGTCAGAATACAGTTATCACCACCATGAGACCACACCAGTAACCATCACAACAGTCAATAGAAAAACAAGGGAATAAAAAGATAACCACTACCACCTTGGTCTCTTTCACTGTGTGATGTCATAGATATTTAAGGCAGTGTCCATCACAGCACCAGAGATGTTGACAGGCCTCAATAACATACTCATTCCCTTTGCCAATACACTTTTTTATTCTATTTTCCTTAAGGCTACATCTGTCTACTAAAAAAATACACAAAACATTCAGATAAAGAATGTTTATTCCTCCTGCTTGTAATACCTGTGTGTCCTTCACCCTCCATCCACTTGATAAAAATGATTATATAAATAAAATTACTTGAGCAAATTTATTCAGTCTGAAAATAACTTCTAGTACAGTAATGTTTAATAAAAATTGCAGATTGTATGTGTTGGAAGTATTTCCGAGCTGGAAAAACTTTCAGGAGAGAAGGTAACAGATCTTCATCGTGATAACATTGACCACATCACCATCCCATCAGCCAAGCCAGGAAACCCACCACTGAAACGCATCTCAGAAGTGTTTGATTGTTGGTTTGAATCAGGCTCCATGCCTTATGCTCAGGTAAGGCCCACATTGCAGGAGGTCATGAAAAATTTTTCATTCTTGATTTAATAATTTTTTATTTTTTTTTTTATGCTTTTTTAAGGATATTTTACCAACTATTGTCTTGTAGTAATTTTATGTACTTGCACTCCAACAGGTCCATTACCCCTTTGAAAATAAACGAGAATTTGAAGATTGCTTCCCTGCAGATTTCATCGCTGAGGGCATCGACCAAACACGTGGGTGGTTTTATACTCTCCTAGTAATTTCAACTGCCCTGTTTGGAAAACCTCCTTTTAAGAATTTGATAGCAAATGGACTCATTCTGGCAGAAGATGGACAGAAGATGAGCAAACGCAAAAAGAATTACCCAGATCCTATTGAAGTGGTTAACAAATATGGAGCTGATGCATTGAGGCTGTATCTGACAAACAGGTGATTAGAGACATGATCTTTTCCTTTTCTTACATAATTTTTAAGAATTTGGGTCACCGCTTCTCGTCTGATTTGTGAAGTTAAGCAATGTTCGGTCTGGATAGTATTTGGATGAATGACTGGCTGGGAATATATGCTGATAGTATAGGACCCTACTGGAAATTGGCATCTCATGGCTTTGTTGGCTATCCTTGGTCAAATTAACTAAATATCAATAACTACAAGTATGTGCATATTCTTTAAGCAATTGCCTGAGGTTTCATAGTAGTATACCCTTCTACACATTACCTCTACTTTGTAATTTACCTTTTCTCACGCTTGCTGATCTTCAAATAAAGTTTCATAGTCACCACAGAATTAATTGATATGGTTTTTAGTTAAATTTTCATTGCCTGTACATTACTTAAGTTAAAATTCAGAATTTGTGTGAAAACCAACTTCAATTTTTTCCATAATGCTCTGCCACCCTTTAGCAGTCTAGTATTGTTGATTAAATAATTTTTGAAAGGTTTCTAAGCTAATTTCCATATCCCTGTTCATTGTTTCATCTCAATTTTGATACATTTCACCTAATCACTTCATAAACCAATTTTCTTTAAATATCTGCACTTTTTAAGTTTTCTCTACTCGCCCACTGCTGTAGAACTACTGCCATTACTGCACTGTAGTTTACTTCTACTTTATATGATTATCCCTACTCACTTTTATTATACGTTTCACATCCACTTTTTAGAAATTCTCACATGTTTGGGTTTCAGTAACAGTCACACACACACAGTAGCCTGTTATAAAACCAAGTTTTCCTGGACTCATAGTGATAAGGAATTCAGGAATTCTGAAATAAAAATGTGTAATACAGTATCGAAGGAGGAATAATGCTGTGCATACATGGAACAGTGCTGGGGAAAATGGGTGGGATTAAAAAAAAGTTTGGCCCATTGCCAATATTAAGATAAAAACAAATTCAAGGTAAAAAGGTAATAAAGCATCAGTAGACATCTGTAGCATGCAAGCTGTTCAAATGAACAGTGTGAGGAATGCAATGGTAGTAACTTTCGACAGGAGCTGCCATGCACAGGCCAACCGGCCGATTGCAGACTCCTTATGTTCTTATATACCTGTATTTTCAGTAACAGAAGGTAGTAGGGGTAAGGTAATAAAGTTGAGAGGAATAACATGATGTGACTTGGGGAACATGTGGAAAAGATGACATGAAAGGATTTCAAAGAGTACTGAAGTGAGGGTAAAAGGAGTAAGGGGAAAGCACATAGTATCAATTCGAGGGGGAATTAAAGGAGTGCATGTTGTTAATTATTAAGATCTGAGGGAGATGGAAAAGGATAGAGAGAGGTGTTTAAATAAGGCAGCCAAGAGTTTTATGTCATGACAACCCTCTCATATGTAGTTTGTATAGAGAGTGAGGCATCAGTTAATTTAAGGAGGTTAGAATATAGCAATCCATCAAATTTGACCTTGTATCATTATTTAAGTTAAAAAAACAATGGATGTTACAACTGATTCTGATAGTTTTTGTGAGCTTAATGCAGGACAACAGGAATCGAGTGCAAATACACAAGCATATTCTCCCTTTGTTTGTTGTCATTTAATTATTCTTAATGCTATAATAGATGTGCTCTGTCATGATATGCCTCTTTCACAACAAGGCCCCAAATCGGGTTTACCACTGTCACTTCACACAAACCAGAATCACCCATTATAAAAGTTCATTAACAATTGATATTTCACTCTTGTGTGGTCCATAAATTTTAATCACAAATTAAGTGTTGAAACAAATACTCTAAATAAATCACATGAGCTGTATTTAAAATTTTTAAATGGCAATCACAAAAGTTTTGTACAATACATACCTGTACAATATAAGTACAGAATAGACAAAGTGGTTATCTTTAATTATATTCTCTGCAGTCCTTCAGTACGTGGTGAGAATCTGCGGTTTAAAGAGGCTGATGTATTTAACCTACTTAAGGAAGTGTTCATCCCATGGCTTAATGCATACCGCTTCTTTGTACAGCAGGTTGAAAGGTAAGAGCACCCTGAGTTTTTGTAAGTGTTCACTTTAGTACAGTACATTATCTATAATTTTATGAAATGATTTTTGTGGGTGTCTTTTGAACTACCAACCATTAATTGGGTTTGAAAAATATGCTAGTGACTGTGATTTAGTCCTTCAGTAAATGTTAGCTTATGTTGTTTTTTATAATAAAAAAAAATTAATCTCATTCTACTACAAATATTTGCTAAAATATGGTTAAAAGCACTGTACTGTACAGTTAATATAATGATGTTACAGTATATTATGGAAAATGTTGACTGATAATTTTAAAGTCTGATTTACTGTAAATTATAACTGGCAATACTACTACAGTACTGTACTAATAAATTTGTTGTACTGTTTAAAATAAATTTTTAGGATTTCAAAGCTCAGTGATATCCCCATTAGCCAGAATAATTGGTACAGAGCTCTTCTATTTATTGAGGCGAATTTTCTTATCCTGAAAGATTCACACTTCCCCGGAATTTGTCTGGTTATTGGGCAAATTTTTCCAAGAATCTAAAGTATGCTTCTTACACAGACAGACTCTATCGCACATCATTGGAATGTTTTCAGGTGCTGGGGAAAGTTTTTCAAAAGTTTAAGTCGATATACATCTCATATAAACAAACACTCGCCCATTACATTTAGGTCGTGGTCACCAGCGAAATTATTTGTGACTAGCAAAAAGTTTATAAACTCTTATTCACAGAATCTATTTTAATCGTGTTTGAGAGATGAATTTGGTACAAATACACACACTACAAGATTTTGTCAATAAAAGGTCCTTAAAGAAAACATTTTGTCACAATATAATGATGGGTAGTCTATAAAATCAATTTTAATTAAGTTATAAACACCATTTTTTACTGAAATAATCTTGAATAGTTTATCTGAGGGTTCCTCAAATAAATATATATAAGAAAGAAAAAAAATCTATACGATATGGGCCATCAAATCGGTATTTTTGAGGTGCTTGGCGTGAATGCAGCGAAGTCACAGCCAAGATAGTGAAATTTTTCACCTTGTACTGGGGAAAGTTTCCTGAGAGTTTAAACTACTCATTGTGTACGGACAGACACGGAGCTATATTTATTTAGGCAAATATCACTGTACATGTACAATATATTGTAAGTAAACAAAACAATGTACAGTACTGTATACGGTACTACTTTTGTACTGTATATGCTGTACTCACCAGCAGATACTGTACTGTCATCTTGAGCTTGTGATGCAGGCAGGTCAATTGTTGATATGAAGATACAGGATGGTCTGCTTTTGTCCTGTACCATCTACTGTAGCAGGTGTTATTGTCACTCTCCTTTCCCTCCATGAAGGAGGGATTGTACACACAATGTATGTATAATAATGTTTGCCCCTCGTGTAAGAAAGGATGGCCGGCCCTAGGGCCACCTAGGCATGAATTTGTTTAAAGTGTAGAAGCTGTCGCCAACCACAACAATCACAGCCTGAGTTAACGAACTGAGTGTGAGTTACCCAGTGTCAAGGAATAGTCTGAGAAGACCAGACAATTTGCCAACTGCACTGGCTAACCATTACCCCGGAACACGATCCGCAAATCGATTAACATCCAGGTTCCCAATTGCTGCTGGGGAGACAGAGGCAAATGGCATAAAGAAACTTGCCCATAGTTTTACCATGCCTGGGGATTGAACCTGGGATACTATACATATACAGGCATCCCCCACGTTACGGAAGCCCGGGTTACGGAATTTCGCTCTTACGGAATTTGTAAATTATGACCAATAATTTCGCGTTACGGCCTGTAAATCTGCCCTTACGGAAATTGGGGTAAATTTTAACAAACACAAGGCCTCACACATGCCATTCAGACTGACAGACTTGACAGGTTTTACCAACTATAAAGACAGTTGAAGCTTTAAACGTCACTCACAATGGATCTTGAATATTCCAACTGTAATCAGACATACCTAAGTTGCCTCAACAATTGCAACCCCAGTTGCAATATCAAATTCTGTGTCACTACTAAGAAATAACAAAGTATCTGGTGTACTCTAAGATTAAGAGAAAACGGACGTTTCAGGAGTGCTGAAGTGAGAGAAAACGGACTCCTATGACGGGGCACTCAAATAAACATACACATAGCTGTATAATGCAATATTAACCCCTAAATTGGTGTTTTAAGAAGGTATATCATAAATTATTTAATGTACTGTATTGTATGTGTTTATAAATGTTTATTTTCATTAATAAAATTGCTTGAATTACTTTTTTGGGGCCGAAAAAATTCCTTAGGAACGCATCTCCAGTTTTATAATGGAAGTCAATGGGAAAATAGGTTTCGTGTTACTAAATTTCGCGATACGGTCAATTTTCCGGGAACGGAACCCTTCCGTAACGCGGGGGATGCCTGTACAACCTACACACTATCCTACAGTAAGCATACACTGTCCACTCGCTAAATGTACAGTACTGTATAGTATATGTAACTGTAATAACTTTTTACATCTAAACACTGTATTCTTGGCTGATTTTGTCCAGGTACAGTAATGTACAGTACAATATCTCCTCTAATTACAAACTTTCAACTTGCGAACTTTCATACATATGAACAAACCTGTGCGCAATAGATGGCATTAGTGTGCTACTCCCTGCTTTCCCAGTCAAGCAGCAGCGATTTTAGTTGTTTTTGTCTCGTCCACAGCATTGCAGCGGTGATAGTTCATTTCTTGTGGCTTTTACGAACATTATTTACCCCAATATGTCCGAGAAGCTTAAAGGTAGTGCCAGTGATGAGAATGTAAGTAAGAAAAGATTTACAATGGAAACAAAAGTGGCAATAATAAAGCAAGTGGAAAATGGTGATAAGACAACAAATGTGGCTCGTGTTTTTGGACTGAATTGTTCAACTGTTGGTATGATTTTAATGGATGAAGACAGAATTATGGAGTTTGTGAGATGTTCTTTGCCTAGGCAATTGATCATCATAAGTAAGAAAAGAGTTTTTCTTTCTTGTTTTAACGGAGAGTAGCCCACCTTGGCACAGGTCAATGACCCACATCAGGGCCTGGGGCGAAGGTATAAAAGTAATAATAATAATAAAAAGCCATAAATAAATACAAAAATTAAAAACAAAGATCAATAGTGAGAAACTATACAGTATATGTATGTTGTGTTGTCAAAGTAAGAGAAACAATTGAGACCCTGCAATTGTGTGTAAATGAAGCAGAAAGTCAGATTAGCAACCGTGTGGTAGTACCTCCATGTTTAATAACTGCCTACTACTTAATACCTGTATGATGAGATGAAAGAACTCTTGTGTTTAGAGGACTATAATCAGTGTTGTGTGATGGAGTATTGTGCTGTGGGTGTGCTGTACACAAAGAATTGTTCATTTTTAACATATTGTTTGCAAGTGATGGAGGTGAATTTGGACGTACAAACAGACCTCCAGAACTAATTATGTTTGAAAGTAGGGGACTGCCTGCACAACACAAATTGTACGCAAACACAGCAGCGAGTAAGGGAACAACCTTGTATACTGGCAGCAGAATATGAACTAAGCTTGCGAGCCGGTGGCCTAAGTTACCCAAGCAGCTAGAGCACCCATGAGCCCGGAATAGAGAGATTTTCTCAGAATTTTTCCAGAAAATGCATGCAATTTTATCCTTGGAACTCGTTCCCATGGAGAGAATTTCCTGGAATGCTAAAAATTCATTCCGGCTATTGGAGAGCTCCGTGAACCAGGGATTCCAGCTTAACGGGAAGATTACTCTACTGGAATATGTTAACAAAACATCAAAAGTGTTTGCACTGAACTTAATATTTATATCTTCTTATTTGGTACAGGTACCAGAAGGATGAGGGCAAGTTGTTCCAGTTTGAGGAAACTGAAATGGGTAAGTCTGTTAATGTGATGGACAGGTGGATCGTGTCATTCACTCAGACACTCCTCAGCTTTGTGCACCGAGAAATGTCTGCATACCATCTCTACACTGTAACTCCCAGGCTCGTGAAATTTGTTGATAATCTCACAAACTGGTATGTGAGATTTAACCGCAAGAGATTAAAAGGAGACACTGGTAAAGAAGATTGTTTGAGGGCACTGGAGACCTTGTATGCTGTATTGTTTTGCATGGTGAGAGTTATGGCTCCATTCACTCCTTTCATCACAGAAACCATGTACCAAAACCTGAAGAGAGCCCTCAAGCCAGGCTCGCTTGGAAAGGTGAGTTCATACATGTAAAGTGTTAGTTTAAAAATTAAAAGAGTGCCATTATTGTGTAAGATACCTGTGAACCTTTCGTTACCTCGGCCTTTTATATTGTAAACATTGTAGCATAGAATGATGTTTTTTAAGCTGACTACTAAACTTAAAAATTTTCATAAATATAGAAAAGGCGGAAGTGTTTGTTAATTTTGAAATTTGTTTGTAGAATTTTAATTTGTAGTTATCACAGTTAAACAAAATGATTCTGGTCTTCTATTATGTTTGTTTCAAGTGCAATTTCTGTATGGGGAATGTGAGTTCCACACTTGTTTAAAAGATTTAATTATGAGCAACAAAATTGTAGCACTTATGAGAGGTATCATTGAATTTCATTTTTATTATTACTACATTCCTGCCATTTTCCATGTTTGCGTGGTTTAACTGTTATTACCTGATGGCTGCTCTCCATGATCTCATGCAGCCTTCTTCATCAATTTCTTATCTCTGAGGTCAACCCTTGCAATCTTTCCCATGTCATTCTTGGACTACCCTCTGTTCTCCTCCCCAACAAATTCAAGCTCATGAATCTCTTGACCCAGTTGGTTTTCTCTTCTCTCCACATGCTCATACCATCTCGACCAATATCTGTGCAAAACTTTGCCCATACTCTCAATACTCAGCTTCCCTCATAGCACTGAAAAGGGTTTCCTATCTTTTAGTGTCACATTACACATCCGCTTCAATATTTTCATTACATCTTGCTCAAGCTTATGTATGTCATCCTTTTTTAGCAGCCCAATATCCATGTTTCACTCCCAATAACATTACTTCTCATGCCAGTTGCATAAGTCTTTCCTTTCTCATAAAGTTTAGGTTCACTCCCCATCAATAAAGGCAACAGCTCTCTAAACTTATTACAGCCACTTATGTCTCTTAACTAATTCCACCACTGATCATGTCACTCAGGTAGCAGAACTCATTCACACAGTATAGGAATATATAACCAATTTTGAGTATTTCTAGCCTTGCTAAGGCCACACGATTACCTACCTATGCAGTGTACTTACACTGCAACATCCTGCAGTCTACCATTTATACCACTGCACCTCTTTCGAACTTCTACAATTCATTCATTGCACATCATTGAATTACAGCCATCATCTTTCTAACAGACAGAATTTGGCCATTTTCCACTTTACACCATGGTTCCTTCGGCCATACCACTAATCAATACTTTTGTTCTCGCCACATTCACTCGCATACCCTTTGACTATTCGATTCCTTCCATTTCTTAAATTTCTTCAGTATTGTCTCCTATCAACATGAAGCCATCAGCAGTCTCTAGCACAATGATACTGTAAATAGAAGGGAGCTCAAGACAGACCCTCGATAGACCCCAACTTTCCCCTCAATTTCCAGTGTTTAGGTTCTTTGAAAACACCACCCGAAGTGGATGCATGACAAAAAGTACCTTGGACATATGGGATATAGGGGGTTAGGTTTCAGGCTACAGGAAAGGTAGATTTATCATCAGCTGGCCAGTATAGACCAAACGCATTATTGATGAATATTTTAATGCTAAAGACTCGTGTTGTTGTTGCTATTATGTTATTTGCGTTTCAACAATGAAGGTTTTTAAGCACATAACAAGGTTAATAATTACACTAGTCCAATAACATAACAAATTATGAGATAAAGCTCTCTATATAATGAGACTTGGGACCTTTGCAATACAGTACTCTATGAATTGGTCGCAAACTTATCAGCTGACCAATCCGTAGTGATAAATGCTTCCTACCTAATGAATTCAATTTTTTTTGCAATAAACAATATTTTGCTGAAGTAAATTTCAATACTTTAAGTTTTCCGTAATGTTTGGTTTATTCTGTTGTGATTTTTAAAGTTAAACCATGCCAAAATACTGCATATATTGAGGATCTTTTGAACTAGCCACATTTTTTTTATTAGTACTGTACATGTATTAACATATTTTCTTGCCTTTTTATTGACAGGGTGACACGAGCTCTGTTCATTATTTAATGGTGCCACAGCCAGTGGAAAAGCTTATTTGCCCTGAAATTGAAGCATGTGTGAACATACTGCAAAGTGTTGTTGAACTAGGGCGATATCTACGAGATAAAGTCAACATTCCAGTGAAGTATCCATTGCCAGAGGTAGTAGTCATTCATAAGGACAGAAAGATCCTTGAAGATGTCCTGAGACTGGAAAGTTATATCAAGGAAGAGTTGAATGTGAAGACTGTAACAACATCTACAGATAAGGAAAAGTATGGAGTGGCTCTCAGAGCAGATATGAATTTCAAGGTGCTTGGATCAAGGCTTAAAGGTGATATGAAAAAAGTTCAACAAAAAGTGGGTGAACTTACAGATGATGAGATTCAGCAAATGCTTAATTCTGGTTCAATAAATATTTTAGGACATACCATTGATTCTTGTGACCTTAATGTTAAATACAGCTTCAGTGGTGAAAAAGCTGTTGAGTTAGCATCGAGATATGAGGCTCACTCGGATGACACTGTCCTTATTCTTTTGGACACAACCCCTTCACAAGAAATGTTAGATGAAGGATTAGCACGAGAGGTTGTCAATAGAGTTCAGAAGCTGAGAAAGAAAGCAAAGTTAGTACCAACAGATGAGGTTACTGTATGGTATCATGTTGATGAGAAAGACATTGAGTTAGCTCCCATAGTTGCCACCTATTCTGAATACATAGAGAACTTAACCAAGACACCATTTAAGCCAATTTCAGAGAAAGACCGGTCATCTGTACTAATTGAAGAGGTTACCAATATAAAAGAGAACTGTATCAAGCTGGTAATCACACAAGGAATTTGTCCTGGTTGGTCGTCAACTGTCAGTGTTGTGGAGGCCACAGTTACAGGGGGTGAATCTTGCCCTTGGGTCAACATTATACTTGATGGTACTCCCAGGTATGGCACTAACAGCTGTAGTGCTACCTTGTTATTGGAAAATCCCATTGGTAAACCTGTAATAACTTCCTGCCAGCAAATACTTGAAGAAGCGCATGGAATCTTCGGTTTCCCACTTGAACATGGAAGGTTGTATGTAGAACGGAAACTTATTGACAGCAAAACACCGGTCGCCTCCCTTGCAGGAAGAACAATTGTTATTACCTATGACAGAAACAAAGTTCCTGTTGCAACTTCAGCAATAAAGCCATATAGCAGGTTAGTACAGTATTTATAACTATAAAACTCGTGCACAATCTTGCCTATATATATGCATACAGTATTATATAAAAGTGTGAGGTAAGAACAAATTTATGCACAGTTATTTAGTTAAACAGTACATAGCCGAATGTCCAGTCGAGAGAGAGATCAACATTTATGATAGCTTAATGAAAGGGAAAAAACATAATCTTTCATTTGCTTCATGTTGAAAGCATAAACAATTACTCCCATTTTTCAGGTTTGTCAATGTAGAAGGCAGTGGCAAGAAAGGTTGTGTGGTGTTAGAGAATCCTTGTGGTGATGGCATCATGTCTGCAAAGGCTTTCACAAGTGTTGTACAGAAGATTTTGGGCTTGGACTCAAAACCTGCCATCTTCACGGATTTAGAGAAGAAGAAACCACTTCACCTTAATGGAAGCAGCTTAGCCAAACTCAGTGGGTCTACTGTATATGTTTGATAGTGATATTTGAATTAACACATTCATATTCTAAGGAATATGTTGCTCTGTATGACAGTTGTATTCTCTTCATGGTAGAACTTTACTTTTATACAAAGTAGAACTGTTTACTAATGCAACAGCTTGTTTCAAATATATAAAAACAGGATTATTGTGATACTGATAAATTATCTACTAGTTAGATAATCTCATAAACTAATGTATTTGTACATTTTATTAAATACACGATAGTGAAAAATTCTCACATACATGTATTCTAAACACAAATTTAATTACTTCATCCTGAACATAAGTAAATATCTAATTCTGTATTCAGTTTCTTATGCCCAAGAAAGTGATGCATTTGTAGTTATCCCCTTATGTTTGGGCCACTTCATGTAGACTGCTGCAATGCTAAAAGCAGTTATCAAATGTAAATCATGGTGGTTCTACTGTTTTAAACACAGCATTATTATATAATTTGGTAAGAAGACACAATTGGTAGAAAGAGCTTGGAAGACTATTATTGCACCCTATTCTGAACCATATCACTTACAGTACCACTCCATCCACACCTCCTGCTAATCTATTTTTCACCTGTAGTATTTTCTGTCCTTTGTATTGTATTCTTCTTATGACACATATTGTTTTTAACCTTCAGTAAAACTTACCTAAGTCTGACTATATAGGGATTAAGCTAGTCTGACTTAGAGGTAATAACCTCACCAATTTGTCTCAAGACTTGCCTAAAGAATGAAATGTATGTGGTACTAAGGCAGTGAGGGAAATTTATATGCTATATTAAAAAAATATATAATAATAACTGTTAAAAGAAAGAATAACAACTGACCAATTTCAGGGCACATATCTTTTCCCATATGATTGCCAGAGCCTTGGTGGGTGGAGAAAGGTTCTGCACTAGCTAGTCTGACATGCTTAATAGTAATGTAGAAATATGTACAGTTCTGTATTACACCAAACTTCATTTTGTTACAGGGTAAACTTAGTTACACTAAACTTAAATTTAATCTCTTAAAACTATGTACTGTACAGTAGTCACTATAATCACTGCTGGATGCCATCACATTATTTGGCAGTTCAGGTGTCACAGAAAGATCAGAGTTGGAGACTAGTGACTTGGTAGACCCTTTAGCACCAGAGGGCCCAGACTTGTCAAGTGGTTGTTGAGAGACTGGTGTTGCACCATGCAGCTGGTTACAACTTGGCATATGCGCTGGCAACACAGACTGAGTCCGACTTCACGGTAATCCCACTTGGAGAAGTCCGACTTAAGGGAGTTTAACTGTATTAACACTTTGTTGTCAGTTTCAATCATCTGAAAATGTCCTCTTTATTTTCAGTCCCAATCATCTGAAAATGTCCTCTTTGTTTTCTTTCTATTTCACAGCATTGTAGTATTGTGTCATCCTCATCTGATATGCACATGCTCTCCACAATAATCCCTTTCATTGATTTACTAAGCTCCCCAAATTTATGTTCTCTTCATATTTTCCTTTATCCTACTCACAGAAATTTACTTACATTTGTATGTAGGCACTTTCTTATAACTGAAGTTCTCATCCATGTACTCTTTATTTTTCGAACTTCAGTGTAGTTGAGGACTTACATTCTTTTTCTAGAGTTTTTAAGATTCTTATAACTCACCTTCAACTTAATATACTCCACAGTATTCTTCAAGTGATTCCACAATATTGTAACTTCACCCTCCTCATTTATATAAACAGTTCACTTTTAATATTAACGCTATTCCTTCAGTTTACAGTGTTAGTTATGTCTTAAATTTCCTCCTTTATGTTCTGTTTGTCTCTCATTCTCTCTTAGGGGTTAATGAATTTCCTGTAGTTTCTTGTGAGTCTTCTTACACTGCTTGACCCATTTAGTAGGAATGGATTACACCTTATGTAAACAAATATTTTCATTTACCTGTCTAACTGTCTACAATCTTGAGAAACACTGTCAACCTAAATATTACAAAAATATGATTAGATGAAGATCTACTTGTATTTATTATCCTGATGTCCTGTATATACTTTTACCCTTATCCCAAACTATTTCTTCCCCAAATACAGATTTTGTGGTTACATCTCTCTTCTTGTTTCAAAATATACTGTATATACAGTAGGCTTACCTCTTAAAATATTGTTTCCTAATAATGGTCATTGTTCTGGAGGAAATTTTTGCGATAAAAAGAATTTAAACCTTCAAAACAATTCAAAAGTTCTGCTCAAGATCACGCTCTCCTCTTTTCTCTGAGCTGTGAGTTTAAGCAATGAGAGTGACATACTGTATGTTGATTAATGCCCTGTCAATCATCATCTGTCTTTACCAGTTTTTAACACCTATTCCTGCAGATATGTGATTACTCCACAATGGTACCAACTCACTCTAGCTTATTTTTTTACCCATAATGTCTGGAAAAAGGCCTGCAAGTGATACTGCTGGTTATGTGGCCATTCACCTAAGAAAATGCTCTGTATGGCGGTAAAAATTCTTGTCGCAAGAAGTGTGGAGGGCGAGCATCAGGTAGAACTTATCACAAGAATACAGACAAAAAAGGGGTTTCTGCCCAATGCACCAATTTATTAACAGCAACCAAGACAACCCATTCAAAAGAACACTTTGCATGTTACCCATCACTGTCATGTAGAGGAGTAGAATTGAGTTAAGAGTGATGACAGAAGGTCAATCTTAAGCAAACTCCTACCAAATAAATTGGTGAGTATACTGTATGATTTACTGTATTTGTTGATGTCCCTTACCAGTAAAAATTTGTCTTTATTTATTAAATGTTTTAATACATTTATCTTGTATCAAGTAGTATCATTATTAGTGCTATTACCAATACCCAATGAAACCCTCATACAGTACTGGTACAGGAATATATATTGCTCATACATTAGAAATAGTGCTGTCATGAATGCATGTCTGTTGGAACCAGGTTATATGGACCTTAGTTTTCAAACATCCCTGTGTATTTTCCCATGACCACTTTTCAAACATTGCCTGATCAAATTTATCTTCATTGAAAATACAAAATTCAGTATCAAAGCAATGTGGCAAACACATTTCATGACATATATTGTGAAGGTTTAATATTTGAATTGTCACTACAGTCGTGTTGCATCTTACATGGGGGGTACATTCCAAAGAGGGCGTGTAATGGCAAAAACACTGACTGTATAGTCAAAATTACCCTTGAAAATTCCTTAAATCACTCGTGAAGTACATGGTTACATACTACTCTCCTTCATATGTGGAAGCTTGGAGCTTGATGAAGTGTATTATACAGTAGGATGAAATCTGGTGACTGAAGCATAAGGAGATCATCAGGATCACTGTTGGAAGAGGGTGATGCAGTGGTGGTTGGTGGAGAGGCACGTGCTGGGAGGTGGGTGGTGGAGCGGCGACAGCAGCTGACCGAATAGGTGTGAGAGAGGAATCCGCTGGGCGAACGGTTAGTTCATTCTTGAAAAAATCGTGATTGGTAGTCGTTTCTTCTTGCCTTTGAGGTCTTTAAGCGTTTGACTGAACTAGCATCACTAGCACTGACACTAGGCAGTCTTTTATGGACCATTTCACACGAACACTATAGTTTTGAGTACAACACGAGATGCTGCCTCGCAGGCAGTACTCGAGTGCAAACAAAGGGAGAGGAGATGATGTGGGCACGTGGGGGTGACTTGTTGCGATGCGTGTGAGGCTTGTAAGCATAAATAAATACAGCTCTGTGCTGTAAAAGATGGCTCCATACACGCCTATACCAAAGAGATTTTTTATATTTTTTAAACACTGTACAGTACAGTATATTTATTTAAGTAAACTTTTCAGTATTATTTTGGTAAAAAAGAAGTGGTGTCCAGGGAGCAGTGTGAGAGGGAGGGAGGAGTATGGAAGGGAGGAAAGAGTGTGAGTGGATGTAACCATACAATGGGAGGGGCAGGGGCAGGTGAAATGGAGGGAGTACTGAACGTTCCTGGAGATGGGGAGGGCAGCAACCCCCTCTCCTCCACTTGCCACTCATCATCATCGTTGTCTTTGCTTTCCTCTTGTTCAAACACGTAGTACGAGTCACTATCATTATCATCACCTTCAATATCACTATCAGTACATGAGTGATGGGATAGATGATCTTCCACAACTCCCTACTGTCACACCGACTGGTTCTGGGGACCTTGGTGGTAACCCAGCACTGCCTGCAGTACCTCACCCTGACCTCTATGGGTTTCACCCTGGGAAGAGTACTGCTCACTGCATCGCTCACTATATGGCAAACACCTCGGCCAAACCCTCACTCTTCGTCGACTTGAAAGGTTCATTTGATAAAGCCAACAGTGAAGTGATCCAAGAGGGTCTCACACACATGGATGTGAAAGGCAAACTCCTCACATGGATTGTTGACTACCTCTCCCATCGACAGGCCCGTGTCCGTTTTCAGGGTCACTACTCCATGATCAGGCACCTTGATCTTGGCACACCTCAGGGCGGTGTCCTCAGCCCAACACTCTTTAATGTTCTCGTGAACTCCATCTGCCGCCTCAACAGCATCTTTGCTGAGCTCGCCCTAGACGGACACATCATAAGTTACGCTGATGATCTTCTCCAAATTAGTACAGTGCAACATGAACAACCTATACTCTCCACGTTCGCCAAGACCTGTCAAACTTCGGGCTATTCATCTTGCACACTAAAACCAAGTTCACCTCACACTTTTGGCATCAGACACCGCTGACTCTGCAAGGACAAGACATTGAACAAGTACACACCTACAGGTGCCTTGGTCTACCCATGCGTGCCACTACCAGTCCCACCACCTCCGCTGTTGCCGCCCATGTCGTCTCCCAGTGCCGCCAATGAACGAGACCCCTCTAGTCCCTCACCCACGGCCTCAAAGGAGCCTTTGTCAGGGTCCTATGTCTCATGTACATTGCCATCATTAAAGCTGTCATAGATTATGCCTCTCCTGTCCTTGGAGTTGCCTCCCAGCGGGAGAAACAAAGCATAGAGAAAATCCAAAGCAAAGCGATGACTCATCCTTGGCTGCCCTGTGATCACCAGAATAGAAGTCATGCAGCGGGAATTGATCCTGCTCCCCTATCTGTGATCGAAGTACTGCTCTCAATGCCATCCTTGGTGTTGAACTTATTCGCAGTGAGCAACTGACCCCCCTGTTGCGCTCACTGTACTCACATCTTAACACCCTCCTGCGCCGGCCTGTCACCATTACCCTTCCCTACCCCTCTACACACTGACCCGTCCACACTGCTGCTGACATCCTGCGTTATCACCTCTACACTCCCTCGACCTCTCTTCCTCTCAAGTACACTCATCCGCCTCTACCGCCGTAGAATTCCCCGAGTGTTGATGTCGTCCACACCATCCCTGGTTATAAATCCACCCAACTGCGGTTTATACTCGAACTTAACTGCCTTGAGCAGATTAATAATGTCGCCTTCTCTCTTACAACTTCCCACCCTCCTCTCCCTGTCTATTGTGGTGGGTCAGTTACCACTGTGCGGCGCTGGGGCAGCTGTGTGGATTCCTGAGCGCCAGGCACGCAGGAAAATCAGGGTCCACAATTGGGCCTCCTCCACTGACACCGAGAGCATAGCCATCCTCGCGGGCATTCATGAGGGGGCTACCTATGTCCGCACTGAATACCGGAACCTCCTTATAATCAGTGACAACACTTCTGTGCTAGCAAGGCTCAAATTACCCTTCCCCTGCCACCCAACACACCCTAGCTGACATCGCCGGGCTAGAGCAAACTGATGACATCCGTGTCAAGTTTATTTGGATCCTGTCACATATAGGAATAACTGCCTGTGACACTGTTGGTTGGCTTGCCAAAGAAACGACACGAAAAGAGGACATTGAAGCCACCCTCGCTCTCTCCTTAAATCATTTAAAATCTCGCATACACGCCGCATCATGAGAAGCATTTGATGAACGTTGGACATGCCTGAAACAACTGGTGATGACAACCGCCACTACAAAGAGTATCAATCTCAGACTCTGGGGAGCTCCGAAGGCCAATGACTCGTGTATGCCTTCTTGAACAAGCCACACTATAAAATCTTGGGCGATTGCCCAACACCAGGAGTGTTATCGCCGCTGGCTTCAGCTACAGTGCTAGCGTTTGCTGCCTTTCCCGAACAAACATTAAATCTCTTGGTCTGCGACCACGTACGCCGTGACCTGTGCCCTCGCCAGATGTAGTTGTTGAGGGGAGGCGGTGTTTACAGACAAGAGGTCCTTGTTCTGCTGAGTGTATGGTTTGGAGGGTGGCGTGGCTGCCTGGCCTCCATAATAGCAGATCACCCTCTCCAGTGATGCTGTGAGGACCAGCCCTCTGCTAGCAGTAGTGAACACCGACTCACAATCCTGGTCGAGTTTTGTGCTGGAACAGTTGTTGACTAATTATGCTTAATCGTTTCTTCCTTATCTGGAGCAATAAGACAATACGGAATGAAGTGTAACTAAGATTAATAGAGTTATGAACTTTGTATCATGTCACTATGCTTAATAATCATTGTAATTAAGATGAAATTGTGTGAGACTTACTAATTATGTATTGGATGGATCGCCTTGGTCTCAGCAGGTTTTGACCACACCCATAAATATTAAATGCGTCAAAAGGCGGGTTTCAATCATTTCCCTTTGACTTGCCCGTCACCTGAACGTCCTAAACCAAGGCGTTTACAATGGATGTTACACTTTTAATACTGTAGTGTATGTTGAATTAGGTATGGTAGTTTAAATGGCTTTAAATACAGTTCATTATTATACACTACTGTATTTTATTTTGTGTTAATCAAGTACTGTATCAGAGGTTACTCCTGAAACTTCCAACAGATTTTTTATTCATGTGTTCCATTTATTTGGGATTCTATTCATTCAAATTTCTGTAACTCAAGCTTCAGTAGCTTGAGGGATACCTGTACTTTACTCCCTAGACCATTTCTATTACTATTTCATGACATTCAAAGAATAATCACCTATTTTTACCCCCTCCTGTACATATGTGTTAAAACTGTCTATATGAATTTCTGTATTAATATTATTCAATGCAAACCCACTAGGTAATCCCAGTGATTTTCGTATTAAATACGTACAGTAAACCCTCAATAACTTGGCATTTAATAACTCTGAATTTCATATAACTCGACATAGCTATGGTCTCAGAATATACAGTATTATGGTATACCTCGGGAAATGCCAAATATATAAAATTATTTGGGAAAACCTTGGCATATCTGGCCACCTGCATCACCTACCATCCCTTTGTGTCACCTACCATCCCTATGTGTCACCTACCATCCCTCTGTGTCACCTACCATCCCTCTGTGTCATCTACCATACCTCTGTGTCACCGACTAAGATGCTTCATTCTTCACCTGCAGTGCTAGTAAGAGTTACTTTTTTACATTTAGTACCGTAATTACATTTACACATATATATGGGATGATAATTTTTTATTGTTGTATTTTTTGAAGGAGGGAGGAAGTGCCTCGATAACTCGGCAAGGCCAGAGCCCCATATATGCTGAGTTATCGAGGGTTTACTTTACCCCCCTGTACTATACAGCTGCATAAGAGCTTATGTAAGGTACAGTTCCCCCAAAACTAAAGTTATCTTTTCCGTCTAATTTGAAATGCTGGACAAAATGCTTTGGTATATTCCCCATTGCATCATCATACGTTGGTATGACTGCTCTCCAAATTGGTAACAACTAGACAAGGGGTAGGATGGGGGTTTTCCCTCTGTGGATTACTAGATACCCGTACTTGAATATTTGTAGCATTTCCATTGTGTTATACAGTCTCTCCTTGACTTATGACATATTCGACTTACAACAACCCGGACATACGACGGCCGTGGTCGTATAAAATATTTTTCACATTACGTATTTTCAAGTCCTGACATTAGTGATCGCGCTGTGTACTGACGAAATTTTTTTTTGTAATTCCTTTTAAAATGGCTGGCAAGCATAAAAGTGAGTTCTTGTGGTGCTGAGAAGAAAAAGAGACACCCATTTTAGAATTTATGTATTATTTTCGCCTTTTCGACTTACGACCTGGTCTTCGGGACAGAACCCGTAAGTCGAGGAGAGACTGTACTGTATAAGATTATTTAGTGTATACAGTACCATTACCTGTGGTTGACTATACCAACCATTTTGAAACTAGTGGACTAACACTACTCACAAAACCACGAACCACATCGACCCTATGGGCAATAACACTTTTTGGGGGACTGTGCACATACTAATATTCCCTCTAGTACAGGCTTGGCCAACATTTGGGTTGCAGGCCAGTCTGGCCAACCGAAGGTTTCTATCTGGCCCACCAGCCTCTAAGCTTGTGGATACCTCTGTTTTATGGTACAGTAATAATACTTTGACAAAAAAATTATTTTTGCCAAACTAATCACATGTAAACAGGACCTGCACATACTGTATAGGTAGACTCGCATTTGATGAAAAACACTTTCAATTGCATAAAACCAATCTTGCATATAAAAAAACCCTTGCTATTGACCCTAGGTTCTACAGACTTTTATGAATAGTATTAGCAGCCATAGTACTGTATTGTACATTTGCGATACTTGAGTCACCCATAAACACACTCGTACTTCAGTATATTTTTCTTTAAATACACGTACAATAGTGGAAAAAAATAAAATAAAACAATGAAATCTACTTACTTAAAAAAATATACAGTACTGTATATACTGTACTGTACTATACTACAGTATATACGTGCACTGAATTAGTTTGTACATTATGTTTGAGATACTTGAGTTGCCCATAAATACAAGAGCCATATATGGTACCTTAACTCGTGTGACATAAAGGGCAAGCATGAACATAGCATGTTTCCCTGTTGGGTGCTGTAAACACTTCTGCGCTTCACCTTACACAAGGATGTAGGGGAGTGCCCAATAAAAAAAAAGAAAAAAAAATAGTATGTTTTCTTTAAATATGCTATTGTACTATTCCAGATGATACTAAATGTTACATAATACTTCCTTGAGATAAATGTATAGTATATATCAGGTGCCTAAAAGAGAGCTTAGGTTCTCAACTGGCTCAGCCATGTTAATATTATCCACTCTGAATCTGTGTTTTTTCTGGCTAAATAAACTGTTTCAATTCAATTCAATGTACAGTCCCCCCAAAAGTACTGTATTGTTAGAATTTTCCATTGCTACAATTTGAAAGGCTAGACCAAATGCTTTGATGTGATCCCCAGTGCATCATCTTAAGTTGGTATGCCTGTTCACTATATCAGTTACTTTTAGAGATGAGGGGAGGGATTTGTTCTTGTATGGCATATACCCTGTTCTAGATACAGTATTTCAATATAATAAAAAATCCATTAAGCTACATTAAAGTATGTATTGTGCTGGGTAGAAGCAAGGCATGTGGAAACAAGCCACTGAATGATGGTTACAATAACACTGAAATATACATTAAATGGAATTATTTTGGAACATCATAACCGAGACCGACTTTAAAACGAACATTTCACCATTTCATTGTTGAAGTAACTGAGTTTCTTTCATACTTATTTTCACAATATGTCTACTCTTGTTCATGATATATCTGATTTATGAAGAGTGACTTGGCAAATAGTATTTGATGTCAGAGTGAACAGCTACAACAATATACAAAATATAGATCTACATGGGATCTACCATATTACTGATAGGTAAATTGCATTGGTTTAATTAACAATGAAATAAGGCTTCAAATCAAGGGACTTGCAGGCAGCAGACTCCCTCTTCACCAGTTGTTCACGGTGCTGAACCCATTGTTATACTGTGGGTTCGCTCACCTCAGTTCATCGTGCTATCTCAGCGTTACGTATACCCTCGTTGTGAAGGCCAATAATAGCACCTTTCACATCTTGCAATGCCGCCCAATTAATTCCTCGCTCAATTCATTTTAAGATTACTTTGATGACTGGCATGGTGTTGGTGTCCATTTATGACTTCCACTCCAATTCATGTAATACTATATATGATCTGAAGCCTCATTTACTGCTAAGGAGACTAGCCAGGTTAGAGACATAACTCTAGTGAAGGTGCAGAAGGCATTAAACACTTGGGTGGAGGATATGAACCATTAACGTGTCCCCATCGACGGCAACGTGCTCAGGGAGAAGGCACCGAGTCTTTATAACCAGTTTAAATCTGAGGTTCCTGAGGGCGAAGTATCCACTAGCTCTGAGAAGAATTTTAAAGCCAGTGCAGGTTGGCTCAACAGTTTCAACCTGAAAAATGTTACTCACTGGTGAATCGGTATCGGAGGACGAGGCAGCTGCACGGGTGTTCCCAGGAGAGTTCAGGAAAATGGACATCTTCCAGAGCAGGTCTTCAACGCTGACGAAACATTTGTTTTGGAAGAAAAGGCCAGACAGAACCTACATTTCCAAGTCTGAGAAGTAGGCCCCCGGGTTCAAGGCTGTGAAGGACCGCGTCACCGTCTTGCTATGTGGCAACTTAGTGTCTGAGTATGACCCCTCTATGGAGCGCAGCTTCAACTTCTCACGAGGTCTTACAAGCCTTAAAGCTCAGTATAAGAATATGTTCCAACAGCTTAAGAAACAACAACGACATCTTCCCATCACCTTGTTCTTTAAGAAAACCTCGGCATCAACATCGTCAGCAGATCAGCCAACGCCCTCAACTTCTCGCAGTGACCTGAGCTGCCCACATCCTCCCCTGCATCGCTATTTGAGCTTGACGATCCCCCCACGGTGACGTGGGAAGGGGATGAATAATCTCAAAACAACACATGTCTGTCTACATACAGGTAATGTCTGTGTTCTATTAATGCTGTTATGCACTTGTTACAGATGTTGATATTACATTACAGTAGTGATTTATGAGTTCTAGTGTACATGTACTTATATATAGTGATTTAAGGGCAATTTAGGGGAATTTAGGAATGTTTCTGACTTAATGCATTTTTGGGCTTTACACTGGTTCCCAGGAATGTAACCCCCGCATAAATTGTGAGGCTACTGTGCTGTATACAGGTACTATACACATTCATGCTCAAAGGTTGCAGATGTAGAACTACCAACTGTTCAAAAGCAGGATGTGTAAGATTGCTCAGAAAGCCCAGAACCACATTGACCCCATGGCTAAGGATACTTTTTTTTGAGGGACTACATTTTCCTGAAGAAGAAAAAAAAAATACCACACTCAATCCCAGATAAGTTACTGTTTGTTTTCATAGGCACACAGTTGACCAGCCAACAATCCTTGGCATCTGCCTATCTCCATGTTGGTGTAATGGTGTCACCCAGAGGATAATTATGAGAAGGGAAGGTGCAATTTAGTAATATAGAACTACTCTTGTCTCTCCAACCAAATTTTTTTGAACGGGAATGAACCACATTTAGTTGAAACCGCAAACAGTAAAATTGCGAAAAGCAAGGGTCCTCACATATAAGTGAATTCTACTATATTGTAGGTTGCTTAAAATGAGGACCCCCAAGTACAAAGGTAGATGATATCTAAACATTGTTATAGTAGAACATGCACAAATTTACTTCAAGTAATGAGATAATATAATCCTTCCATTTCTCATTGATGAATTGGGGATAATTATGTAAGTGTTAAGTAACCATATTTGAATGTACTTTATTTACGGTGTACAATATACAATCTTGATCAGAGATCTGCGTAACTTGACACATAGTGGCAAATTGTCATCATTCAAAATTATATTTTTTACCGGCATTTCTCTGCATAGCATATACAGTATATATAAATCTAAATTAAACCGAGCTAAAAGATACTTCACACAGAGCATCACAAGATAGTTAATTCCCAGGATTGGTTAATTTATGAGTAAAAGATCAGTGAAATAACAATATAAAGTAAAGTATAAATTGAACTCTGAAAAAAGTAAATTGTCTGTGCAGCTACATTGTACTAGAGGAAGATTTCATCAAACTATGGTTAGGTCAATTTGCAATTCAAGTACATCTTAAAAAATTAACTTGCCAAATTCTTAAAGTTTTACCATACAGATCTACAAAACCTGTTCTTTGCTTTTGTAAATGTTTTTAAATTACAAATAAAGAATAAGCGCCTATGTCCACAGTTCATACAGTAACCATGTACCGTACTTGTTGAATATCATTATACTAGATATTTTTTGCACTGAGAACTGGTGAGGAACACTACATGTAAAGAAAAATTAAAAATATACAGTATTTCACAGAGTGGTCCAAAGATGCATTTTCAAAAGGCTTAACATTTTCTCAGTTCAGAGTGTAGTAGTAACTAGCACCATGCCAAGAGTTGGTTTATCTGCCTGTCTTAACTTTGGTCAGTACCATAACTTGTTAAATCACATAAAGAGTTCAAAATTAAGAAAAGACTGATCTTAAAAACAATAGCCATACAACGTGTATAAACTGAAACGAGTTCAGGTCAAGGCTGTAAGTCAAGATAAGTCGTGGGTAAACAAACATCTTGGTTGTAGTCTCACTGATATCAAGTACTGTAGAAGGGTTTTGGTGCACTCATGAAATCAGTCCATCTTTATGTGCACATACATTTTCACCATCATGGGGTTTAAGATTTTTGGCTGGAGTATCACACTAATTGTGGTCTGATGAGATCATTCGATGGGTCACTGTGCACGATGTCCTAGTCATTACAAATGTTTAAAATTCAAAAGGCTGGGCTCAGTCCTGGGTATGTAATAAGTTGAGGCATGCATTTCTTTGCTTATATGCAATAGCATGCCACAGTATGAAGTTGATCCTGGACTACTAAACTTCTAACTGAAGTAGTAGTTTGTGTTGTTAGAAGCTAAAATTCAATCTAAAAGCCATTGCAGGACAACTGTCCTCTATTGGAATATTTGATGAGAAACAGCTGATATTAAGCCTCCTTACATTAATAGGTGAATACTATCAATTTTGTAAATGATGAGCTGCCATTTGGGCCAAAAAACTTCACACCATAAACATAAAACTCTGGAATGTTGAAATAATTGCTGATAATGACAATATATAAACTGATAATTCATGACTGAGATTGGCACCATAAAGAATGTGAATGATACATAAAAAGTTTTACTACATAAACTTAATTGAACTGTCCAAAGATGAAACTGACAATACAGCCATCTACTATTTATTAAAAGAAAAAGAACAAATATACAGCAAAACCTTGGAAATCAGTTATATATGAGTGTTAGGAAACCAGCACATATGAGGGGAGAAAAAAGTGACAGCTTGCTCTGATTTTATGGATTACTTGTACTAGCTTAAAAAAAAAAAAAACAGCATTGATATTTGTATCTTAGGTATTTCGCTCATGATTTAATTGTCAACAGAGATATGATTCAGTCATATAGTATGAAAGCCAACCTTTGCTACTTCTGTAAGCCAAATTCAGCATAAAAATGAACCAGACAGAACTGGGTATCCTTAACAGTTATACAAGTATATGTATTTATTTGCAATACTGTATATGAATATTAATCAAACATTATGTATCGGCCAATGAGCTGCATGGGGGCGGAGCTTGTACTGTAACCAAAAAAACAACAATAGTACAGTACCGACTCATTATTAGTGTTGTTACCGAGACCCAATGAAGCCCTTTTACTGGAATAGTATATGGCTTACAAGTAAAAAAACAGCACTATCAAGAATGAATGTTTATTGGAACCATGTTATGGTATAATGACCTCTTATAGTGCAGGCCTGTACAGTATAGAAAAAATAAAATAGCTGAGAGATGCTTAAAATACTGTATACAGTCTCACTACATTTTCACAATTTACTGAAATATGGTTCATTTTATGTTAAAAATTATGGTGCAGCCATATAATTTATTTATCAGAAATCACATTAAAATAATTGTAAATATCTGATTATTGTAAAATTTTACAACCAATTAAAGTACAGGGGTAATTGAAAGAAAACCCCCAAAGTTGAAACTACTTAAGGGAGGGAGACATCAGCCTGTCAGCACACTGTTTCAGGAATATGTTTGATTTTGTTGAGCACTGCTATTAAGTCGAATTACATTAAAATAATCACATAACATACATCATTAATTGAACACAATATATCATCTTGCCACGACATACAACTATTTCACCTATTTTCACATGCTTAAACTCTTCACCTGAAAATTCTGCTTAATATCTGTGCACTAATAAACTAAACCACAATTTACCATCGGAATTTAAGCATAAGAATGCTCTTTGGCTTTTAGAGGGTCATATGAGGAGATCCTGAAAAATTCACAGATCTGGCAGATTCCAAATCCCAACACTCATTGATTTCCAAGGTTGTACTGTATGCACAGTATACATGAAATAAATTTTTATTCTGCAGACTATACAGTAGTCATATTTGAAATTGATAAGCCCAAGAAACTTGAGAAAAACTTCTCTAGCAACATTGTATTGATTAATGCAAACACACGGAGAAAAAAATATAAGAAATACCATCGGCTGTATTGTAACCTTAAACATACTGTATGTACAGTTAAAAAAAGAAAATCATAAGTGTACTGTATTAGTCTCTTTGGCTCTATTTTTCATCCAATGAGACTGATCAATTAATTTTATTGCACTACAGCCACCATTTAATTGCATGATTCCCCCTAGATACAGTATTATCTTTTGTGGGAGTTTATTATCCATTCATATAAAACATGACTTTCATAAAAGCACATGTAAATGTAACAAAAGTAATGATGAAATGGATTTACAAGGTATTAGGGTAGGTAATTAACATACAATAATATACTGTATACTGTAAACTAGGAAAGCAGTGTTAACTCATTAGGACTAAATACATCATATTCTTCTTGTTATGCCAAATAAATAATCAGCCACAAGTAAACATTTTTGTTACCGATTCAAAAATTTGTCTACAATCGCCTCAACTATAGAAGGTCCTCCAGTCTTGCTCACCTCATGCATACATACTCCCTCATTGTTTTCTTGCTACATGAAATTTTTCTATAGATCAAAATAGATGTAAATTGCAGTTATGTATTGCTTTCAAATTACTCTCTATTATACTATTAAATATGAATTCCTTTAAATGTTATAAGTTAAAACTTACTACAGTAATGTCATTTTTGGCAGAACAATATTTTATGAGTACTGTATAGTATACAAAAAATAATTTCCCATTTGTAAATAAAAGTGCTACTGTATTTAACTCAGTAAGTTAATTATGTAAATTGTGTTTCATATAAAGATTTTGGTCAAGAACACAAAAATAATGAACCTAATATTTTAAGATATCTGAAGTTGAACAATATTTGAGTGCTACTGGTAGTTAATACGGTAGAATTTTAATTTAACTGCAGATTGTTCCCTGCAGTTTCAATAATATATTTATCTTGACCTCAGCTCTGAACCTCAATGTGAATTTAACTATTGCTCTGTTGAATCTCAATGTGAATTTAACTATTGAGTTAATATGCTTCCACATGATATTTATATGTGACCCATTATACTGTTATTGCCACGCACAATTGTGCACGCCGGCCACATGCTAAGTGAAGAGACTGTTTACAACTCAGATAGCTTACTAAGCGAGATGGAGCTGGTAGCAGCTGTGTGACTGCCTGAGGGGCAGACTATCGCCTTCTATTGTAGAGGCAACATCTTGATTCTCGTCAGCCAACATCTTCCTGCAGGATATTATATTTGTTCTCGTTGGTCTAACCCTAGACCCGAAAACATGAGTGTGATTGTGGACTGTCGAATCCTCTGAGAACTCTAAAATAACTTTAATAAGTGTATTTATGTACTGAATATTGATCATATTATTCAAACTGCATATCATGATGTATCAGCAGTTGTTATATGTGAAATGTATTCAACAGGTTTTGACCGAATTATACTCATCGTGTCAACAACGAGGGTCTTATTGTCCTGCACAGCCACAATTGCTCCTGTGAGTGATTTCAGTTAAAATGTGGGATAGGACCATCGTGGGAGCTGCCGAGGATCATGTCATCGTATGGAGTGGTAAGAAGAGGACCTATGTCAGAAAAGACTGGACTTCATGTCCATATTGTTTGGACGATCGCGCGCGCGAGAGTGTTAGTGTTCATTGCGGATAGCTGCACTGGCAACCACGAGAACTGGTGTCAGAAAAGACTGGTCTCGGTGCCAAAATTGTTCAGACGAGTGCACGGTAGTGTTACCATTCATTACGGACAGGCCACGAGGACCCTTATCAGATAGGAGCGGCCTCAGTTTCAATAACATTCATGGGAACATGCGGGAGAGATAGTGATTAAAGCGTACAGCCAGACTAGATCGCCAAGTTTAAGAAGGCTGGTGTGTGTGTGTGTGTGTATAAATAAGAAATAAGAATGAGTGAAGTGACCTTTCTGTTAGAAAATAAATGTTGTGACAGCTAAGTAACTTGTGCAAGTAAGGGCGCTGCAGTAGTATTTGAGACATCAGTTGCATAATGAGTCTCTACATTGATTGTGGGGTCTCTTTGGTTGTGTTAGTGTGACATCACTCATGCGTATGGCACGTCACGTGTTTGAGGGACATCACTCACACATATGGCATGTGTAAATGTGACATCACTCGTGCGTATGGCACACATCAGTGTGACATCACCTCCACTTGTGTGAGTTCAGTGATTGTGGGGCATTACCGTTAGTAGTAGCTGATACTAAGCGTTACTGCATACATTCATCGAGCAAGACAGATCACGCTCACTGTTCTGGCAGTCATGGCCATGGAAAGGAACAAGTCAGAAGTGAGGAGCATGTCCGGCATGGAATAAGGAGACACTGTCGACGTATAAACTGACGTCTCGTCCATGAATTAAACCTGTCTCCAAAGAAGAGAAAGGAACCACCAGACGAAGGGATTGAAGGGCAATTATATGAGCAATACCAAAAGATGCGGCAGATGTTCGCTCACATGACAGCGATGATGCAGAATATCACCGAAGGTAGGAATCTACTACAAAGTAAGGGCAGCACAGTAGATCGCAGAAAGGTGTTATCACTACCAAAGACATGACCTTCCTCTGAAACTGATGAAGAAATGCCATATAATCCAAGAGGACTCCCAGCGTTCACCTGAACCCCGGAGCCGAGAATATCTCACCAAGGGGAGTGGGAAAGTACTTCCGAGCATCAAGCTTGCTCACCGAAACCATAACCAATCAACGGAAGTGGTGATCGGCGTGAAGAACCCAACAATTGAGAGTTGTGACTACAAGGGTCCAGCAGAGTCGCACTTCTAATAGTGAAAGTCAGGGTGGAGGAGAAGAACCAAGAGGCGAAAGGACCACTGGTCACCGGAGCTCTCTTGGATTCAGGCAGCAACCGATCATACTGCACGCTTAGCCTAGCTAACTGGCTGCAGGCAGAGGGAAGGCCAGTTTCCCTCTCCATTGGCACGATCATGAAAGAAAGAAATAGTGTAAACACAGAAGAGATCAGTCAAAAAGTGGCTAGCGTAGGAGTAAGGAAGAGCCAATCCATCACTATCCCCTAGGTCAGGGGTCACCAAACTACGGCCCGCGGGCCGGATCCCAAGTCCTTCCCCGGCTCGTGGTAGCTCCGCCTACGCTCTGACGTTACCAGAGCTTTCGTTCTGGCTTGCAAGTATTGAACAGAATGATTATGCGGCCCGCGCTCGTCATTCTTTCAGTTATCCGGCCCACTGTGAAAAAAGTTTGGTGACCCCTGTCCTAGGTCATTGTTGTTGAGAATCTACCATCTTCTCTGACAGCGTCGGTCACAGACACCCAAGACATCACCATGTGGGAACACCTCAGAGGTACTACGCTATGCCAAGCACCGAAAAGAGTGGATCTCCTGATAGGTCTGAATGTACCACACGCACTAGCACCGTTAGAAGTAAGGACCGGGAAGGACAGAGAACCGTTTGCAACATGCACCCTTCTAGGCTGGACTATAAATGGACCGCTTGGAACGGTGAGCTGTAATTATGCAGTGATCAACCACTTCGTCAGAATGGCAACACCGAACTCTGAGACAAGTCGGGCATTTCTGAGAATGCGACTCTACCTACAGTAATGATGATCCCGTCTCTGTCAAAGACAAGAGAGTTCTGATGCAGCGGTCAACGCCAATTACTCAAGTGGACGGACACTATCAACATCCCATCCCGTTTCGCCATGAAGAACCAGGATTCCCAGACAATAAGAAGCTTGCTGAACAGTGATTGGCAGGATTGAGAAAATGCTTCTTGAAGAACCCAGGGCTCTATCAGAGGTATCAAGAAGAGATGAGACTTCTGATCGACGCAGGACATGCTGAGCGAGTCCCACCTCAAGAACTCAGTGTTGCGCCCGGGAAGACCTGGTATCTCCCACAGCACCCTGTGTTGAATCCCAACAACCTAGAAAAGGTGAGAATAGTTTTTGATTGTGCAGCTGTGTATGAGTTGATGTTATTGAACAGCCAGGTGATGCAAGGGCCAGACCTTAACAACAAATTGATGGGAGTCCTCATCAGATTCAGACAAGGAAAGGTGGCACTCATGGCTGATATAGAGGCAATGTTCCACCAAGTGCGAGCAGTACCTGAACATCGAGACATCTTACGATTCTTATGGTGGACGGACAACCAGCGGTCAGGGTTGCCCCCACCACTGACCAAATGACAGTACATCTCTTTGGGGGTGTGTGGGACCCTTCATGCCAGGTATGTGCAACAATGAACATTCCAAGATTATGGGGAACTCCATGACAACATCAAGAAAGCAAATTGTAACTTTTATGTTAAGTTATACCAGAGCATTGGTGCCACGTGAAGTCGGCACTGAACCCAGCCAACTACGCTAGTCGTGGACTACATAGAGCAGAGTTCAACGAGGGAGGCAGGTGGATTCTGGGACCTGCTTTCCTCTTGTTGGAAGAAGACAGTTGGCCTAAGATTCCAATGAGGATTCCAGACCTCACAGATGGAGACCCAGAGGTGAAAAAGGAAACCACAGTGCTGACCAGGGGGAGGGTATCTTTGATAAGCTTTGGGCCAGGTACTCCTCGTGGCATCAACTTCTGGAGAGAGTAGCGTGGATTAGAAGGTTTATAGAATGGCGGCTTGGGAAGCAAAAGAACAAACATCACCGAGAAAATTGGTTCAAGGTCAGTGAACTGGAAGATGCAAAATTGGCCGTCTAAAGATTTATGCAAAGGAAAGGATTCCCTCGAGAACTAGGAATGTTACAACAGGGACAACCCGTGAGAGGTAGCAACGTGAGTTGGCTGGAACCTCATCTAGACACGGATGGTTTGATCAGAGTAAGCAGCTGACTGAAACATATCGCTCTCCACCCAGACCATAAGAATCCCATACTGTTGCCGAGGGACAACAAGATCACGGGGCTCATCGTTTGAGAGGTACACTAGACTCAAGCTGGACACTCAGGACAAGAACACACTCTTGCCACAATACGCAAGACATACTGGATACCTAAGTGCTGCAAATTACTCGACCACACAATGCAGACATGTGTGACATGACAGAGGAGCAACTGGAGGCCTACCCATGAATGCCAAGCTGACTTGCCAGAAGATCGAGTGCGCCCAGGAGGCCGGCCGTTCACCTGCACTGGAATTGATTGCTTCGGCTGAGCCCAGGCGAAGAGATGGGGATGCTTGTTCACCTGCCTGACCACCAGAGCCATACACCTAGAAGTCATCACCTTACTAGACACCGACTAGTTTGTCAATGCCCTGACAAGATTCACCTGATGCAGGGGACCTCCCAAGCGTATTCTGTCGGATAGGGGAACCAACATGATTGGAGCTTTACGAGAGGCGGTGAACGGGTGGAACAACAGTGACAAGGTCGGGAGTGCCCTCCTACAAAAACAGATAGAATGGCAGTTCAATCCCCCGACAGCCTCTCATATGGGTGGGGTGTGGGAGCAACAAATCCACCATGTAAGGAAGGTCCTCCGGGGAGTGGTGGGCGCCCAGACACTAGACGATGAACGACTTGATACTTTGTTCTGCGCCGTCAAAGAGATCGTCAACGGAAGGCCCATCACCCCAGTGTCTGACGACCCAAAGGATCTAGAAGCAATAAATCCGCTTCACATACTACGGATGAACCCGGAAACACTGCCCACCGGAGGCGATCGGTCCATGGCAGAAGCGTACCGAATGGAAGCATGCCCAATTCATCGCGGACCAATTTTGAAAGAGGCGGGTAAAGGAATATCTCCTGACACTACATCAGCAACAAAAATTCTTCAAAACCCCTCCCCAGGAGTCAGTGGATGCTAGGGAGAGTACCAGAGGCACTACCGAGCAAAGCTGGCCTGGTGCGAAGGGTTAAAGTAAAGACAAAGGACTCGGTGTTAATAAGCCCAGCGACGAGACTCTGCCTGTTGGAAGGGGTCGGAGAGATTGAATCTAATGGTAGGCATTGATTTTGAGCGAAGCCTGACGGGTAGTGTTATCGCCATGCACAATTGTGCTCGCCAGCCACATGTTAAGTGAAGAGACTTTACAACTCAGATAGCTTACTAAGCAAGATGGAGTTGGTAGCAGCTGTGTGACTGCCTGAGGGGCAGACTATCGCCTTCTACTGTAGAGGCAACATCTTGATTCTCGTCAGCCAACATCTTCCTGCAGGACATTATATTTGTTCTTGTTGGCTTAACCCTAGACCCAAAAATGTGAGTGTGAAATGTCGAATCCTCTGAACTCTATATAACTTTAATAAGTGTACTTATGTACTGTTATTGATCATATTATTCAAACTGTGTGTTCTGATGTATCAGCAATTGTTATGTGTGAAGTGTATTCAACAGGTTTTGACCGAATTATACTCATCGCGTCAACGACGAGGGTCTTATTGTCCTGCACAGCCGTAATTGCTGCTATGAGAGATTACATATACCAATAGATGATGTAAATGGTGAGTAAGCACTGTTATCATAGTTTTCATTAAGTAAAATCACATTGTATAATAGCACACTATTCAATGAATCCTTTGTAAAGAATGAATAGATATAGATTAAATATGAGAGAGAACAAATATACAAGTAAAATGTGATTTTCAAAAATTACTAAGCGAAATTATAATTACTGTACTGTACTTAGTCACTGTAGTAGCAGTCATGCTCACTAAAGAATGAAAAAAGTATAAATCACCTTAAGTGATTGGTAATCTGAAGGAAATTCTTAAAAAGCGCTTATAAATATATAATTTCTAGTACTGTACTTGACAAAGAATCAAATTTAGGACCAAATTATAAAGGAAGACAACAGGGTCACTACTTCAGTATGATGCATAATATGGCCCTAGATTCTATCATATCTAAAACTATTAAAAAATCTATTTCCTAACAAATTACTTCATACTTAAGCTACACTGTACAAACCAGCATATCCAAATAAACTGTTCAATACTTTCCATTATAAAATAAGTATACTCCCCTGCCTAAGACTGTAAGCTTATACTGAGGAGATTCCTTCAAAAATGGTTTGTATAGCAGAACCCTTACTTTTGCACAAGGTTTAACGAACATGCATCTAAATGGTGAATGACTCATACAAAACTCACTTTTTTAATAATAGCTGTATTGTAGACATGTACAGTATATAAATTATGGCAAAGAATATGTGAGCCCATACAGGTTTTATTTAGATTCTTTATCATAAAAGCAAATAACTGCAAATTTTGAAGAAAAAAAATGGTCTTTCCATTCTGGTCTCTTGACTTTCATGAAAATTATTAGTTGAAAAATTTGTTTTTGAATTTATTCAAATATTTAATATACATTCTATTAACAAAATAAACCAAGATTCATCAATAAACAAGAACAAATTATATATATTTCCCATATCCTGACTGGCTAGAGCCAATTATTGTAGTAAGGAAAAGGAAAAAAATATTTTTATAATATAATAACTTGTGCTATAGTGTATGCAGAAATCTTTTATACATACAGTGTTATTAAAACCCTCGAGTTTGATCAAAAGATTTTCAGAATACAGTACAGTGTTTCAATTAACGGTTTTTATGTCTAGAAATATGCTCGACTATTATAGCTTTTGGTTATCCATTTTACTTCGCAAAATTTTGAACCAAAATGAATATAGAGAAATAATACAGTTCTTTTCAAAACCTGTGCAAACAACTAGGGTTCTACAGCATTTAAATAACTGCCTAAAAGACATTTGTGTTAGTTCCATACAAATAATCATATATTTTTCCACATCATATCTGTGATACCTTTATACAATATTAAATTCAAAGTACAAAGAAGAGAATTAAGACAACAACTAAGACGCTTGAAAGTGCACCAATTGCAGCCCACTGACGCCGATCTGAAAATATAATTTGGTACAAGAAAATAAATAAAATACCTAAACTTTCCACTCACATACTCTACAGTTGTTTCCCTCCACTTGCAAATATATTTTTCACCAATATTAGCTTACTTGACCTCCAGTTTCTCATATTGTACTGAAAAACATGTACTATATATAAATAAGCTACAATACTGTGGTCATATTTTGTCTATAAACTTCTGTGCTACACGAATAATTCAAGCAAATGTAAAAGTAAACAAAAATAAAGACAACACTGAATCAATAACACATCATTTAAGTACAATGACCACCAGTCTTACTGTATATTCGAGTTCTCACTGTCATGCAATCATAACTTTGGGTTTTCACCAACCATTAAAGTAGAAAACCCAAAAAGGATTTGAAGAAGATGGAGATGAAGGAGGTCATGACTAACATACCTTACCATTAAATAATCATGACAAACTACAGTAGTTGAGTAAAATATGTTTAGAGTACTACAGGGTATGTACAAGGTAAAGTAAGTAAGTTTTCCTTATACTGTACCAAATAAATCTAAATTAGCAAATATTTTTACCAATGTTTAGTAGTTATACCTGCTACTTGATACTACAAATTACAACTATTGTATTACTTAAATCATTAGTTGGTACTGTACTACTAGATAGGCAGTTTTGGAAATCTGGAATATTAATTAAAACTTTGATGAGAAAATGTCCCTCTTTAACTGGTTAGTGATGAATGGAACCTAGAACTACAGTTTTATCCAAAGGGCACATATGTATTCAATTTGCTATTTTATGTCCAAATAGTAAATACAGTACCATGTATTTTAGGTTGAGTAATAGAAAACCTGGTTCAGACAAGTAAATTCGCCAACTAACTGCCCACCAATCAAAGACAAAATTGCTACTCCTATGATTCAACACGATTACTTCAAGACTCTATTGTTCCTTTCATTTCTTTTATTGTTTCAAATCCTGAGATATAATAAGTACAGTTGCTCAAAAATGTATTTGAAAAGTGGGATCCGATGGATGTCAAAACGAACAATACAACACCTGTTGTCTGGGCACTGTTGCCTCGGTAGGGTTGGTAAGCGTGAGTAGGCATAGGTGCTGCAACTTCTTATAACCAGGGTAGTTTATCTTTATAATTACAAGTATCCATCGACATTAAAACAGTAAACATTGCATTATAGGCATACCTGTATGAAAGCAGTATAATCACCATACATAGCCTTTTTACTTCCTCCATGACAACAGCCCCATCCACTCCTGTCTGGCTGTTAAGGCGTGGTTTGAGCAACACCCGGAAATCACAGTGTTACCACACCCACCTAAATCCCCTGACCTGAACCCCATCGAACATGTGTGGGCTGCCATGAATAAAGACTACCCACACAACTGCCATCGTAGTCGTGCTATGGTCATCAATACTGTAGTGCCTTGCAGGCATGGGAACACCTGCATGGCCCGGAGGGACAACAGCTGACACCAGAGTTGGTGGCATCTATGCCTCGGTGCTTGAATAGTGTTCTGGACGCAGGAGTTGGTTACACCAAATATTAATTCAATAAATGTGGGATGCCATTAGTTTACCTTACCTATTAATATAACTTACCCTGATATCTAATACATGTATGCATACCAAATGCTACGTATGGATACAGTCAACATATGCATTTTGTTGTTGTTGTTGCGCAGAGGAACATTTAAACATTACCATGCACATATTGTTTACTTTATGTGCATAACATGGATAATGTCTTTTTAGACTCATTTCTTGTTAATATAACCATATTAATTGTATATACTGTACAGTATATGAAATGCTTTCATGACAAAAGGCAGGAAACGTCTTGTATACTACATGGCAGCCATTGTAGCATGCAGGGCTACCACCTTTACTCCTGGTCCTCTTCCATTTCCCAAAAACATCCGTCCGATGTGTCATATTGGCATGAACAATATATTTCAGATACTTTATTGAGCGACTGTACCTTTCTATTTAACTACGGGTATATTAATCTTACTTTTAGTTGCCTCTTCCCTCAGTGAGAAAAACATAATATATTAATACTCACCATTTGACAAGTGCATTACTTTGGCCATTTTACTAAGTGTATTCTCCATCTTGCTCTGAGTGTTCTCCATCTCATGACCAAAATCATCCAGCATCCTGCAATGGTGAAGAAATACATGCATACATCATCACTGCAAAGTCATTAGATTAAGGAAACATTTTCTCTCTCTTGCACAGACAAATGGTCAGACTACTGTTAAGTATTTTTGATGGTTCATATCTCTCCAATTGCTCAGCATTTCTGATGGTTCACCTATTTCAACCACCCATTTAGGAGCAAAGTTTTTAAGCTCTTATGGAAATAAACCTACAGACTCGAGAATGTCACACAGTTGAGAGGTGTTATGGACTCCTCAAGTACAGTATCTAGAGATGAACACCTTTCCTGATGTCCATGCTCCTCTTTAAAGGATGGACGTCAGTGAAACCCCCTACCCCTATAGAAACCAAAGGAAGATGCAATCCCTTAAAGTCATGCATGCTAGGGACACAACTCATCAACTGTTTGATGGTCATTACTATGATACTGCAGAAATAAAGCCAAGAAACTCAACAGGTTTATAAATTCAATTGAATTCAAAATTTCTTTATTCAGATCCCCACACCCAGTTTTCATATCTGGTTTTTGACAAAACCTTAAGACTTGGTCTAAGACTGACCCCTAATAGGGAAAGACTAAAAGACCAAATCCTCATCTACAGTAGAAACTACTCTCAATACAAGAACTATGTGTGCAAAGCCTTTCCAATATGTTCAGCACCCTCATAATCTTGTGTTAAAAGTAAAGTTACATTCCTGGAAAACAAACACATCTGAATAAGCATTAACTATACAGTAGTTTAAAGTTCCATTTATTGTAAAATTGCATAAATATGCATGGATCAAGCATATTACAAGAAAAAATCAGCAGCTTCCTTCCCATTCCTCAGCACTGCATCACCATGTATTGGGGCAGGAATGATATACAAGATCCTCTGAAATTAACTGGTCAACTAATCTGAGTTACAGATTAAAAAAAAAAGCCCCTTATTCAGAGTATATAGTATTCTGAGTTTTTAATGTACAGTACTGTATGTTATTTTTAGAAAGACATATCTCCCTACTGGCTCTTATCAGCATATGATCGTCCACTTTCTCCACTGAAGCTTCTACATACTGTATGTTCAATACTGCTTTAGACAATATGGGTTCAGTTACTAAAATTTTGTATTATTAATGGCTTGAAGATTCTATCCAAAGAAAGACGGATCATACTTACACAGCTTGTTCATCGACCTCTTGGCCGATTTGACGAGACATATTCTTGAGAGTTCCCATTGATGAGGCTATCTGATCAAGCTGACCATCTTGCTGGTTCATGATCATCTGTAACATTTAAAATTAAGTAAATATCATTTGTAAATATAAAAAGAAGCATCTACTACAGTTAATATAATATAAGTGACTACAGTATTTCTTTATTACACAGGGATATACTGTAACAGAAAATCTATGTGCATGCATATAAAAACAAAATATTGTTAGTATTTATTTTTACACAAAGATATCAGTCTTAATCTACAAGTGGTTTATACATCATTCAATTAACCCTCTCGCTGCTGGAAGATAAAATATTTGTCATCTGTTTCACAACACACTAGACAACTCTGTGGTTGATATCCCACACTCAACACACTAACTCTAGCCCTCAAAGAAATGTTTAACCTTGTGGTAAGTATTTGTCTATTTTTTTATTCTTTATTTTTTTTTTGCACATTCTTTATGTAGGATCGTGTGTGCTGGTAACTGAATAAAAAAATTAAGAAAATAATGTATATATACTTAAAATTACAGAATGTAAAAAAAAAAATAATGGATGGCAAAAGTTTTGTCATCAGGTGGGTAACAGTTGGAAATATCCTCGCTTGACCTGGTAGTGTGAAGGTTAACTTCATTTTAAACTCATTGAAATGAAATACATGCAGTGGTGTAGAGTGTAATTTAATAGTGGAAGTGAGACTCAGTGGTATAGAAGATGTATGGGAAAAAGGAAGCATTCCTTTCATTTAAAAAAAAAAAGTGCTACCCAGAGTGCTTAAATCAGGGAATTTAAAAACTACAAGTAAGCTCATTTCTTATAAGTTTAAGATGTATCGGGTTAAGGATTTTCAAACAGTTAAAATCTTTTCATTGTCTATCATGGCAAAAAGAGAATACAGTACAGAAGATTATGTGTACTGTAGATGTTTGTGTTGCTCTGAAACAATGACTGAACAGGTTTGAGTTATCTCTAAGTGGCAAAATTTTACTTAATGCTGCTGCTTGACTGTTAGTGGTACTGTACTTATGGAATACTGTACAGTATGTACAGTCCCCCCCCACCCAAAGTCTTGTGAATCGTGGCTTTCCGAGCAATGTTACTTGGCCTGTTTCAGGACTGTATATTTTATTAATAAATTCTTGTGAATTCACATACTGTTCAGTAGTTGATCTAGTATTTCAGGTTATACATTACACCCAGGAACTCACCTGTTGCTGAACAAGAGTTCTTTCAATAAATTCACCATTTGGACTGTCTGCCTCATTAACAAGGCGGCTGTAGCGGGTGGCCCCATGGGTTACTACCTGAGGCATCTTGAGGGGGCTGTTGTCGTCCACTGGCTGAAATATAAGAAAAATTTAAGCATGTTTTCACTTTCACAGCTTAAAGGAAGACGTGCAAAGAAAAAATGGCAGAAATTCTACTTTTGTTTGAAGTAAGCAAAATTAAAATAGGTACAGTACATTGAATTTCAGTAAATAAAAAAAAATTGAATTAAAAAATACATACAGTAACATTCAATTCAAGAAAATAAATAACATGAAATAAATAAATGCATAGTACAAATGGAAGTTAACATTCAGTAATGAAAAGATATTGATCCTGAAATCTAATTTTGTAACTGAAATTAGACTGGAGGATCTGTGTTACTCTGCCAGCTAGATCTAGAGAGTTAAAGCTGACACTAGCCTTGGAAAATAGTAACTTGAGGCCGATCAGCTGCTCCTTCCACCTTTAACCAGATCACTGAAAAGGACTCTTAAGGATGTATGGGGGTTAACCGAGTCTGAATACCTGATTTACTATACTGTATCATTACTCTTTGTGCAACCTAAAACTATCTAACTAAACATAAAGCCTCCTGAAAGGATCTCCAATTTTCTGTTATCATAGAAAACGGGAAATTTGTATCATAGAAAATGGGAAAAGTCTACTTTCCCGAAAAGTAGATCATCGACTTTTCGGGGAAGTAGATTATCGACCTTCTGGGAAATCTTACCTAATTTTGCGAAGTGGATTATCATAGAAAACGGGAAATTTGTATCACAGAAAATGTGAAATATCTACTTTCTGGGAAAGTTGGTTATCTACTTATAATAGAAAACGGGAAATTTGTATCATAGAAAATGGGAAATATCTACTTTCCGGGAAAGTTGGTTATCTACTTTCCTGAAAAGTAGATTATCTACTTTTCGGGAAAGTAGATTATCGACTTTTCGAGGAAGTAGATTATCGACTTTTCGAGGAAGTAGATTATCGACTTCTGGGGAAATATTAAAAAATTTTGTGAAGTAGATTATCATAGAAAACGGGAAATTTGTATTATAGAAAATGGGAAATATCTACTTTCTGGGAAAGTTGGTTATCTACTTATCATAGAAAATGGGAAATTTGTATCATAGAAAATGGGAAATATCTACTTTCCGGGAAAGTTGGTTATCTACTTTCCCGAAAAGTAGATTATCTACTTTTCGGGAAAGTAGATTATAGACTTTTCGGGGAAGTAGAATATTTCATTTTCCCCGTTTTCTATTATAAGTAGATAACCAACTTTCCCAGAAAGTAGATATTTCCCATTTTCTGTGATACAAATTTCCCGTTTTCTATGATAATCTACTTTGCAAAATTAGGTAATATTTCTCAAAAAATCGATAATCTACTTCCCCAAAAAGTCGATAATCTACTTTCCCGAAAAGTAGATAATCTACTTTTCGGGAAAGTAGATAACCAACTTTCCCGGAAAGTAGATATTTCCCATTTTCTATGATACAATTTTCCCGTTTTCTATGAGAAGTAGATGACCAACTTTCCCAGAAAGTAGATATTTCCCATTTTCTGTGATACAAATTTCCCGTTTTCTATGATAATCTACTTCACAAAATTTGGTAATATTTCCCCAAAAGTCGATAAACTACTTCACCGAAAAGTCTATAATCTACTTTCCCGAAAAGTAGATAATCTACTTTTCGGGAAAGTAGATAACCAACTTTCCCGGAAAGTAGATATTTCCCATTTTCTATGATACAATTTTCCCGTTTTCTATGATAAGTAGATAACCAACTTTCCCAGAAAGTAGATATTTCCCATTTTCTGTGATACAAATTTCCCGTTTTCTATGATAATTTAGTTCGGAAAATTAGGTAATATTTCCCAAAAAGTCGATAATCTACTTTCCTGGAAAGTAGATATTTCCTATTTTCTATAAAAATTTCCTGTTTTCTGTAATAAAATTTCCGTTTTCTATGACAATCTAATTTTCAAAAAATTATGTAATCTACTTTCCTGAAAAGTAGATATTTCCCATTTTCTATGAAAAAAAGTTCCGTTTAAAAATTTCATATTTTGTCAGAATTTCCCATTTTCTATAGATATATATAACACTGATTTTAATTTAATTGAAACAGTTTATTTAGACAGAAAAACACAGATACAGAGTGGATAATAATAACAATATTAACATGGCTGAGCCAGGTGAGAACCTGAGCTCTCTTTTAGGCACCTGATACAGTATATACATTTATCTCAAGAATGTATTATGTAACAATCAGTGTCAGCTGGAATAGTACAATAGCATGGTGGTAATAAGAACATCTCATAATGTTACCACGGTTATCACTTCAATATTTATTAATTTTATTTATTTATTATATATTTTTTTTTAATTTTTTTTTATTTATTATTTATTCATATATACATAAATTACAGTGGAATTGAAAAACATAAGTATAATGGGGGAACAGTTCAATATGCGATGTACAGTAATAAGGTTGAACAAGAGGACAGCTGTCAGGATTATGACTAGTTGGCAATTATGTTCATTGCAATGGTAATTACTTATCCATTTACATGATAATTTCCTATAAAACGGTTTTGATGGTACAATAAAAGCAGGTACTGTAAGTTGGGGTTCTCCTCTTCGTTATGCAACTACGCTTTCCACGTAACAAGTCCATTGCTGAAATTATATATATACCAACCCACTTTTACAATGCAGGACTCGCAAGTATCCTCTTAGCTGACAAGGTAGGGTTGCTACTGCCTAAGGTAATTGTAACTCTTGAATTCAGACACAAAGAACCTGTCATTCAAAAACAGGCCAAACAGCTCTTTTGGGTGACAAACTGTTTTAACAAGACAGGTTGAGTTACTTTGGTGACTTTGAGTTCCCTAACAACAGTGGATGAAAGGTAAGTCTTCACATAACCATATTGCCAGTGAGATTCTAAATTAATTACATCAAATACAACTAATGCATCATACAGTTGAGGTAGTGTATTTCTCCTCAGGAAAACTGCCCTACCTTAAGGAAACTGTAGGGGTAAGCCATAAGTAAATGCTTAACAAGTGTAAAGACAACTATCAAAACACGTAACTAATCCCGAGTAATGCAGTTAAAGTTTGGAGAGAAAGATCCACACCCCGGGAAGATATAGATAGGGCTAAAGTTGCACTGTTGTTGTGATTTCATGTTGTAAATGAAGAAATGACATGTACACAGCGACAGTAATTATCAAAATGCCTTCTGTCTTGAATGGGAATATCCATTTCTACGAGTACGTTTCAAGGATCTGGTTCTATGAGGAAAGAGTAGCTACTGTGCTCTTTAAATTGGTCCCTACAATCTTCAGGGTTCCATCCGAGTTTTAACCACCTAGACTTAGCTACCTGAATACAGGCCCCCAGGGTGGTGGCAAGGTACTAAAATAATTTTAAAGCATATTGCACAAAAAAAAAACATGTGAGGGAAGCTTTTAAAACAGAAAACAACCAAGAAACTATAGGTTCATAATACAGAAAGTAGAATTTGCAGCAACCAAACATAACAAGCATGCATCATATTTACCCCAACTGATTCTGGTACCTGTCTGGCTGTAACGTCTCGGTCCTTCTTGGTAAGGTTGAGCCGCTCTTTCATGGACTGGAGAGAGAGGGTAGGAGAGAAAAATAAGTTTTAAGGTATGAGGCATACTTCTCTGCTTAATATGTACTGTATAACTGCCAATTTATTTTGTTTTTCATAAATTTATATAAATGTAGACTCTCACCAAAAACTTCTCGAATGCTATAAGCACTATGCAATCTGAAAGATGAAAAAAAAAATCTGAAACCATTCCGAGACGTCAAGCCCCATTCTGCTCATTCTCACATCCATCGTGCCCAGGTGCTAGAAAAGTTTTTGTTGAGAGTGTACAATCAACTTAAGCATGAGCCATGAACTTGTGCAGAAATTCCAATACTGATACAGAAACTTGGCAGGTGGGTTGGTTTCATCTATACCTAACACAATAATGTGATTTTAAAGGAAGCTGATAAAGGTGAAGTGCAAGGAAAGAATGGTTTGAGGGTAGTTAGTGTTCATAAAGTCTTATATTCAATGACGAAAAAAAAATCTAACTTGCTCTCATATTGCATAACTGTAAACACACACATTCATTGTTGAAGGAAAGGTATACAAAACCAAAACACTGGAAAATGAGGAGGAAAACATCATGCAGTATGTGGATGGGGTAAAGGGTTGGTTGCACCACACAAATTGCTAATCCTGACTTTCATTATACAGTTTATGTAAAAGAGATATAACGACATTACATACCTTGACCTCCTCCTTTGTGTGCTCTATGAAGGTCCTCCTCGCTGCTAGCTCACCACTGTCAATCTTGAACTTTCTTGGGTTCTTCTCAACAATACGTGGACACTCAGAGTTAAGGAAAACTAACATAAAGGCATAGAGGAGTGCTGCTGCTGCCACATATAGAGACAGCTCTAGTTCTACTTGTAACAACAGCTGATACACCAACCGAGGCACAGGAGGAGGGGATGGTGGTTCTGACGACCCCCACTCCCAGGGGGGGTCGTCCATTCTCGTTAAGGGTTCCCCACCACCTGGGTCATCCAGGGGTGCAGGAGACCCGGGGCAAGGGGTTACAGGTAGGAACTCCACGTAAATAATAAATGGATTGGACATGGAGAGAAAGACCTAATGATATCTTGCTACATGAGTGAATAACAAAAGGTGAAAACTGATTTTATATCTAAAAGTCAATAAAATCTAAAGGTGCCAGTTTACTCCACTGTCAAGAAAATATTCTATGTAAAACAGTCAATAAGGGGGTCATCAGAGATGTGGTATTGGGTAAGGTGTTGCCTACATCATGATCAATCAACAGAAGACACAAGACTAGAGGGCATTTATCCTAACCTTGAAGTTAATCATTGTTACTGTCCCAGAAAGCAAGGAAGGAAAAAAACAAGATACAGGAAAAGGGATGGTGATATATATTGACATAAAAGAATGGGGATGATTATAGATTCCAGAAGAGCAGAGGGTATGTTGACGCTAGCAGTACAGGTAGTTGTGCAAAGACGGGGGATAAGCACCAAGACGATGGCTTTACAAACTCCCCAGTACTCCTTCTCTCCATGTTGCCTCACCCATGACACCTGTGTTTCCGTTTCCTGAAGTCAAACGTCACTGCTTCATAAACCCAACATTGAGTCAAACACCATTATAAGTTCTGGGAGGTAATATACACAGGATTACGCAGATGGTAGTTGTTATTGTTATGGCTAATCACATTGGTTTCACTCGATATTGAACACAGCTTCAGTAAAATGATGTAGCCATCAAGAAGGTGAATAATTTACTTGGGAGTTTCTTTTCTTCCCTTTAATTCACAATGTTCCTCAATGGACTTGATGCAAATGTCTGACATGTCACACAGAACATTATTTCCAGTTAAATTAAATGTTTGACACTTTCAATTCTTTAGTACATACTGAAAAGGAGAACGAAATATTTGTTTATTAACGTCCGCTACCACAATACAGTAAAGTTTTTTGTTAAATTTCAATCTTAATCAAAGATCACTTGCACACTGAGTAAGTCTTCTGCATACGGTACAGTACCTGTACTGTACACGAAATTGAAAAATTCTTTCACATTCAAACTGTACAAATAATGAAATTTCACAATTGTGACAAATATATAATGGGTTAGATTGGGGGCAGGGTTGGGCCAGGTTAAGGGAGAGTTGGGTTAGGTAAAGGGAGGGTTAAATAGTTTAAGCTGGGCTAAGTTAGGTTCCACGTTTGGGGAGTAGTCACTCCCTCCCTCAGCCTAGCTGTAAATGAGTCTTTACTTTAGCAGGGGTCTTTATTGCATGTGAACAGAGGTTAAACATTTTGAAACCATGAGTCAAACCCAAACAATGTAGTACTGTATTACTACAGTAAACAATTACTGTATTCAGTCAGCATCACATTTTAGTAAGTTTGTATGATAGTGATTGGGTGGGTGTTTGTAATTTCTGGCCAAGCCCTTGAGTAAAATATGTTAACGAATGCGTTTACACTTTACACGTAGCTATTTAGTGTAGAACGATTTTTTTCCAATTGTGCTCTGTACAGTACAGTATACAATACATATAACTATGAACAAATTATTTTTATTATGAAAACAAACCAAAACAAACGGACAAACTCTTGTATGCACAACTAAAACTTAGAGCCACCGCAAGTGTATTGTTTAACACACGTTTCAGGCTTATAATATGGGTTTAATTTTCAAAATTAACAGGTACGTTACTGCGTATCTTCCCCAACATTTATTATTATACGGTATACTAACTTCACTCCACTCACAGAGAAGATTGTGGCAAGGTTAGAGCCCAAATGATGGTGACGATAACATCACCAAATTTTGGTTGTTTAACCATTAATGATTATCTTTAGCAAAATACTGTCGAGTGAGGGCGGTGCCTCAATCACACTTGAAAACAACTCAACACAGCAGGCAGAAGGTAGAATGTAAATAGCAGGAGCCTGGCACTAAACGAATAGGTAGTCTTGTTTCTGCCAAAGCACTTCGTCCAAATTTCATGCTCCCGGCTCGAAGTGGACAAGATATTGCCCGGACAACCAAGAAAATCGGAGCAACCACTCAGTATCCAATGACACACTTCCCCGGCACCTGGACAAGGAATGGGAGAGGGGGATGTACAATAACTATCAATACCTAAATGTCATTTACAGCGGAAGTTTGACTGAATTTCTTATCTTTGTAAAAAAAACTCACTTTCGCATCCACGGTCCCGAGAACGAGTCACGGACTCGGGCACGCACACGCCACACTAACATGTATCAAGATAAGTTTTCTTTTATCCGAATAAAATTTATGTAATCTAGATGTCACATTACTTTTTGGTGATGTTATTTGGTACTAACACAATGGTCACTACACATTTCAACAAGTAGTTACAGCTGTGACGACACTTATGTATACAAATTACACAATGCTACAGCTGTGACAACACTCAAAGAGCACAGCTATCTTTGGTCAAGCCTCGTTTCATTTTAGTTCACCATGGCTCAATACATAATTTTGATAAATCAATCTTGTTAAAATTTACCACGAGGTTTGACCCACCAACACATCTCTCAAACGTAGTCTTTCTTGAGTACTGTATTGTGTGAATGCTGCGTTGGGTGTGATAGCGTCGTTCCTCCTGTATTGGGGGACGAATACTGTCCAAGGAATGAGTATGGTGGGACTGGGGTGGGTGGTAGCAATGGTACTACTGGAGTGATGGCCACGGTGGTGTGCGTCAGACAGCAGCGTCACCGGAGACAGACGCAGAATGACTGCCGAACTTGCCGCCTCGCGCTTCAACCACCTGCTCACTACACGTACTAATATGACTACTACTACTCCTCACCCTACATCTCACAATTAATACCTTCCCTCTTCAGCACCCTCCTACACAAACTCTTTGCACTTTAAAAAAAATATGACGTTACCTACAATAACTAAGAAAATCTTATGGTAACAATCGACATACAAGAACAATTTTTGTTTTTCTAAGGAGGCTGTGGTGTAGTGTATACCAATCAGCAGTTGTAGGGGAGAGTGTCCACTACAAGGCAAAATGCTTCCCTCCCCCCCCAACCTCTCCAGCACTTCTAGTTTTCGTCATTTCTAATCCCTGGAAGTTGCAACATCAACAAAATACCACACGCTTTTAATGTTACTGCATTTGTTTGGTGGGGATTGTCACAAACCATCTGGGCGGAACAAAATGACAGCCGGATGCATCAGTCGCACTCAATATGTAATTCAAACATTTCCGACACCATCACAATATTTCTCTGTAAACACAATACACGAAAGCTATGAACTCAATATTAGACATGACGAACTGAAATTACTTTACAATTATATAAAACGGATCAAAACTATTCCATTATCAGATAAGACATGAGGTAAAACTAACACGCAGTTGTCCATAAGCAGTAAGTAAACCATGAGACACACTGTTGTTAAGTACAGTACTACAGTATGTTCGCAGCCAACAACATTAGCATGAACGCTACCAACACAAACAGGGGCGCAGTGAAAAAAAACCCGGCGTTACGGAGTGACTTCAGGAGAAACAATGCCTTAAAACATCAGCGTTATGGAGGGTCTTGAGGATGACCATTTCCGTAGAAGCTCAACACCTTACTGACAGAGCGTAAAGGACATTGACGTTGAGCGGGACGCTACCACAACTACACTCCTGCAAACTACAAGCACCATCACCACTAAGGTGACGGTAACGTCAATGAAGAATTAAGGCGAAAGATGCACAAGCACATAGAAGAGTGCACGTGTACCCTAATCTAAGTCTTCCTCCCTCAAGACCATCTCCCCCCTACTACTAACCTCCCCGTCCCGACCACACTAAAAACACTTCCTTTCCATACGTGACGGTTTGTCCCAAACAGCCGTTTCCTTCCCGGTGGAGGTGAGGCGTGACGACTTTCGCCGTCAGTGTCCTGGTGGGGTCCTCCTCCTACACTAGTGACAAGACGTGTGTCAGCTATCCACACATGCACTGAACCTCCACCTTTCATGAGTCCCTTTTACGGTAAATCAACATGAATGGCGGACACACACACATATATATATATATACAGTATATATTATAAGGCAGAGGAAAAATCCGGAGAGCACAGGGAGAAAATATATTTGTATTTTTGTAGTTTAACAGAACTAATGTATTCTGGTGAAGGAACTCGTGCATGTAACACTAATGGTTGATTCAGTTTATTTTAGTCCTTAAAAAAACGTACAATAAACACACCAGGTGCAATTATCTCTAAATATCCCAGCTACTCTTAGCATTTAGGAGCGAGTTTTCTTACTGGAGCTTCTGTATGAGAGGAGTGTGATCACAAGACCTGCTGATTGTCTCACTTTATATAAGTAAAACATACACCACTAAAATCAATTCTCAATCAATTTATTGTTTCTTAATGCAATGTTTTTAGTTAATACTATTTAACCCACAGTAATTGAAATGTGTTTTAGGCTAGCCGCAATCACTGCTACATGCTCGGTAATGTTCATTTCTTATTTGGTCTACTTCAAAATAGTGACGTAAATAAATAAATCCGGGCACAAAAAGAATGTTATGGAAATTTTTACTCGATCCTTCCAAATTTTCCCCATCGGATTTGCATCAAACACAAGAATTATGATCAACTCTGGTCAAAAATTCACAAAGCCATGGCACAAATCCGCCGGAAACGCTTATCCTTAACACACACACACACACACACACACACACCGGAGACCAGCCCTAGAAACACAAACCACCAGACCCCGACACCTTTCACACAGGCCAGCAAGCCCAGGTGGTGAAGCGGCA